AAATTGCAAAAATAGATCTTGATTATAAATGCTAATCTATCCATTTTCCATGCCTTACATAATTTCATTCAAGGTTATAGGAGAGATGAAATTCATCCCAGCTGCTAAAAGGCAGGAGACACTGGATAGATCATGAGTCCATCACAGGGCCAACAAGCATCACATACTGTCACACTTACTTCAACAGGGAATTTAGAATCATTAATCAACTTCACGTGAACTTTTTGAATAGTTGCAGGTAGAAGATGTAGCCAGTGCTAACCCTTTTATTCAAGGCTTTATGAAAGGCCTCAAGAGGGATTAAAACCAGGAACCCTCTTATTGAGAGGCATTGGCTCTGACCTAAACTAAAATCCTCCGCTGCCAGGGAAAATTTTACCCAGAAACTGCAGGTGTGCAATTATATGCTACAGTTTACTAAAAAGGTGATCACATTTAAGAAATGTCAAATAATTATCATTTAACTCAAAATGAGCTGATGAATGCAGATAGTTAATGTCTTCAGAAATATAGCAGTAAGTCGATCTTCAAAAGATCTTCAAAAAATGTTTACCTAAAGTCAAACCAGTCAAGCTAAATATGGGCTTTTTCGCTTATCTATGAGGCCATAATGTTTCCCTAAGAAATGTTTAATGTGACTGTTGTTAATGTCACAATAGCAAGGCAGAGATAGTCTTCTGCCATTGTTGTACACAAAATCAAGGTGAACTTCAGACTTGTATTGTGAAAGTGGTTATGTTTTTACCGTCCCCACTTTCTCATATGTTAACTGTTCTATAGATGATATAATGACTGATTACTGCATGCACATCTATCCGGGCTTCTTTTTTAATATAGCACTGCACAGTGTATATGCAGAGGACCCTTCTATGAAAGAAGCTACAGCTGCAAATCCATTGAATGTGCCATATAAGCATAATGCATGGAACAGTGGATTTCACTCTAATTATATTGCTCATAAAAGATTATTATTGGCGTTTAAGGTTTCCAGGTTTTATTGAGCTGCACTGTAGATGTTGCTGGCTAGTGTAAGGGGAAAAATAACACCCAGTTCATTTGGAACTAGCTTGTATCCTTCATTTACACAGAGGCTTCCTTTGTTTTGGCCTTTGCCTGCCGGTAACGAAGGCTCAAAGTATTTTGCAATGTTTCTCTAGCTGTGTGAAGAAAGACTCTGCAGCCAAAGGGTTGTTATTTAGACTAATGGGAGAGAAACAACTGCAGCATCAGGAGGGGAAGTCAGTAGGTTGTGTGCACCTGTGTGTATTTTAGAGGATTGATGATGCTTTTGTATATTGTCATAGGTGCCTGTGTGTTTGTGTGTGTTCATTAGTTTTGATGCAGTACTGGAGTGAAGTGACAGTGAAATAAGTTGCAATTATGTCTGTTAGGATCTATTCTTGTTGTGATGTGGGGGAAAAAAAATAGACTGGTGTCAAGAGATATGCCAGGACACATAAAAAGGGAAGGCTTGTTAAGAAAAATAAATGACAGAGGGAGCAAACGCATGAGGAAAAATACTTAAACGGAAGGAGAGCTGAGTTGTAAGTGTGTAAATTAATGTGCTGTTTCAAAATCATGTTTTTACTGCTATTGTGCAAATCGGACTAATTTGAATGTGAAAAGAAGAAGTGAAATGATTTGTGAAGCAAGCACAAGCTTCAGAGAGCTTCCCAAATGCACCGACACAGATGATTTAGGGAGACAGCGATGCAGAGGCTGGTTATACTTTATAAAGTTAAGCAGGCAAAGAATGGACATCAGATTTATGGAAAGCTACGCACAAAAACAGTAAGTGGTTGGGCATTGTGGGGGAGTAATGTGAACATATGAAAAAGAGAGATTCAACATAAAAACTGAACATGTGGAAAGAACAAGCATGAAGGGGGCAACGATAGGAAATGTCCCATGAGACCAATTGTGTCCAGTGCTGTTACTGTAGTGACACACCACGCCGCTGGCCCCTTTCTCTCATTAAAGCTTTATGAAGCAAGCTTACCACACATTTTATTACAATGACGCCACTGTCTGCACATTCCAGCCTTGCGGCAGGCTGGTGTTGGTAGAGGGGACTGCTGAGAAACAAGCCCATAGAGACAGATACCAGAAGGGGGAAACAGTGGAGGAAGAAAGGGATGTAAGCATTGGGGACACAAAGCCGAGATCAGCAAGCATAGAAAGCATGCAGTTATGGACCATGGGGGGTACAAAACGAAAAGTTAAAAAACATAGAGGAATGTGAATAGATTTCTGTAGTTCAGGAATAGAGGGCATGCATGCTGTCGTCTGTGTACTGTCTAGATCGATGTGCTAAGGTGGACTAAGGAAACCAGTGAAAGGTTTTATGTAAATATAAGTTCTGGTTGAGAATAATTTCTAATTTCAACTGTTGCATCAAGGCCTGAAATGTTGGTCAGATTACTCCATACCATAGACACATGCAAACACTTTAGAACAGCACCCTGTGTTCCAGTTGACTTTTTTAATTTGACAAGACTATCCTGGATATGTGCTAGCATTTTCCTTAAACTCTGTTAACCAAAGCAAACTGGAAACGTTAATGTCAGGATCCTACATCAGATTTACCCTGACACAATTTAGGCAAGCGTGACACAGAGTGCTCCTGGGATCGCAGTGCCTTTGGGCAAGGCAGAGGTTTTACTGTATTTAACTTAAAACCAGACAAATCGCCAGAAGTAAAAAAAAAAACGGTACTTTCAATGGAGCGTAACAAAGAAAACCAACTCTGCTAATGCAAGAGGGCTCTTAGGAGGTGTGGGAGATGGATTCCAAAATCAAAACATTCAGATGAAGGGGTCATGTGACCGAGGAACGGGCTGAAAGAATGAACACTGCCCCTGGTTATGAATTGTAGGACAGTCAGAAATCCAGGATGGAGAGGAACTAATGACCAGCTCTGACTTTGATCTATGCTAATGCAAGGCTCCATTTAAATACAACAAAAAATGCAACAAAAGTCCTGAAACTACTGTTCAAGACATTTTGTTATGTTGCTCTTCTACGTGTCTTCTTTGGTGTCCAGTCTAATCAGTTCACTGTCATCAAGGAGTCGGCATTTCTTTAAGCCTTGTTGCTGTAATTTTAATTTTAGAGACCTATCTGTAACTCACAAATACATATGCTTGGGGGATTTTTTTTTTTACAGGTAGCCACACTTTTTTCAAGGTGAAAGAAAAAAATTTGTCCCATCTATCATGTTGTGTGAAATCTCAAAGACAAAACATTTGAAGATGATGTAAAATATCTTCCTGGAAGTCATTAGAAGCACTAAGGACGGCATGACTCAGCTCCTGCTGAATGACACATGGTGAGTAAAGCCAGAATGCTAGTTTTCTGAATTGAAGACATTTAGCTCCTGTCATAATCGGAGTCTAAATCCCTGCCTTATCGCCCACTGTGTGCAGGGGCCACGGCTTTGTTTAATTGCCACAAGCTAAACCGTCAAAGCTACGTCTCCCTCAGTGTTTACCCCCACTGAGACTTATAGCTGATAATGGAATTACTCTGAGTCTCAGGAGGAGGGAGGGAGGAACAGAGAGACGAGGCAGCCATAGATGAAAAGAGAGAGTGGATGACGGAAGTCTAAAAAGGGGACAGATGAAGTAACTGCCTTGAAAAGAGAAAAAATAAGTAAAGATATTACATATGTGATGCACAAGGAGATTAACAAAAGGGCATGAGAAAGAAAGTGTTCCTGAGTAACGTGCAATTGTTGCCATAAGTAAAGGATGCAGCCTTCCTGGCATACTGTTTACTCCCGTGTGACGTATTACATGGATGAGAGTGAATTATGACGCTGTATAGCGCCGGAGTCCAAAACATGCTCGCTTGAAAGAGTCTGACTGAAAGGATGAATGAGGCTAAAGGAGAGAGAGGTTGAAGGAAATAACCAGATGCAAGAGAAAGGGGGGAAATACAAATAAAAACATAAAGAGTATAAAAAGGAGTGAAAGGCTGATTCTTTTTTTTTGCTGTGTTCTCAGCCTGACAAGTTGCCTGTCCTCTAGTGGATTTGTGAGAATGTGGAAACGCAATCTTTAACCACAAAGATTAATTTTATGGAAGCAAGCCAGTGGAGTACATGCGTTCTTCTCACTCGCCCCTCTGTCATGGTTGTAAGCTGGGGGTGTTTTGAGACTGTTGCTGTGGAAAATGACCTCACATTTGAAGTGAGCTTTCAACACAGTCATGGGTTTTGTGTCTGCATGCATGTGTGTGCATGGATGGATCTTAAGGATACTTAGCTCTAAGCAGGTTGGGCTATTTGACTCTAATTTCCTTAACAACTGTTTAAGCAGCCAAGCCACTTTTGGCCCATGGGAATGAGCAGAACATTTTAAAATTGAATGCCAGAGGCTTGAAGTGTCGACTGATTGCAACACATGCTCGAGCAAAAGTCTTTGCCCAGAACTCATAGCTGTGCATGTCAGTATTTAGGAAGCGTATATTGCCTCTGGTGCCATGGTTCCATCAGATTTTGTATTAGAATAGAATGACTGAAGCATTTTCAGGATCTAATCTTGTTCAAAAGGCCTTTTTCCTCTTTCTGTTTTAAACAGGTCACACTCATCATTCAAAACTTGCAGTTTGCAGGTCTAATTAAGAATGAGAAGGTTCTGTGTGGCTTACACATTCTGAAATAGTGACTAATTAAAACAGTTGGCATACCAAACAGATTCCACAGTGTGAATTTAATTAGGGTCCATGTCTTTTGGACTTTTTCACCAGCAATCATTTGCAAAATTATAACAACACAGAAATTAAAAAGAAAGAACTCTGATTGTGTATTATTTTTCTGCTTCGATAATTTCTATTTTCTTCTGTTTTCTTTCCATTTCTCTTTTGGATCCATCGATTTCATCCTCCTCCTCCTCCTCCCTCTCACCCATTCCTTTCATTTTTAAACATCAGTCTGTTCTCAGTATTCGAGGGGGGTCTTTGCCATCTTCGGCCTTTACGACAAGCGCTCGGTGAACACGCTGACGTCATTCTGTGGGGCCCTGCACATCAGCCTGGTGACCCCCAGCTTCCCCACTGAAGGAGAGGGTCAGTTCACACTGCAGCTTCGGCCTTCCATTAGAGGAGCTCTGCTGTCACTGTTGGACCACTACGACTGGAACCGGTTTGTCTTCCTCTACGATACTGACCGAGGTAAACGAAGAAAACAACAACAAAAAACAGGAAGTAATGCACTGAGAAGCATGAAACTGTAATAAATGTCCAAATTAATTTTGAAATGGATTAGCTGCTTGGGTTATGTTTTGGATGACAATAAGAGCTTTGTGTATGGTTGTGTCAAGAAATAATGGTGCAATTTCCCACATTTCTGCTAAAGACTGCAGTTTGGCCTCAGCTCCTGAAGCAGTAACCTGCCTTGAATTTTACCATGCCATCATGCAGTGCACGTAAATTTGTGGAACAGGCTCAGCTGACGCCCTCGCCCCCAAACCACTGTCATGGGAATGCTTTGGTGCATTATTTCGGTCTCGCACACATGTATGCACACAAAAAAAAATCCCCCGCAACACAGGGAGTGAAACACAGGTCAAACATGACACAGTGTCCCCAAAGACTGCAGCATAGCGGTGTGTTAGGAAATTAGCGACCCGCGCAAAGGTTCCGCGCTCTTTCTGTGCTTCCGCCAGCCCTCTGCGGTCCAGGTTAGTGGCTAAGTATGCAGGGGAGCAGATGGAGAAAGTAGAAGGAAAAGACTGAAACAGGAGAGACATGTTTGGTGAATCGAAGTGGTAGGGCCTGCAGAATGATGGAAAGTATGTCCAAGTCAGGGGAGGCAGAGACAAATAAGACGATGGAAGGGAATAAGAGGTAGAAATGTGGCTGGGGAGAGATTATAGAAACGCCATAAAAGAGGAGTCAGAGGACAGACAGGATCACAGGCCTCTGGGGATGCAGTGTTGCAGGAGGAGGGGCAGGGCTTAAGAAAAAGGTGGAAAGGAGGGGGAAATGGAGTGAAAGGATAGATCTCGAGTTTGGACTGTAGTCACCCGTGACTTGGCCAAGGCAGGGCCCTTCATTATAGGCTCCCATCAGGCCCTGCTGCTGGTAATGTGCCGGAAAATGGGCAGTAACGCTGTGATCTGTTTTATGGTCCTTGCTCTGCTGTGCTTCACCGACAGCCCGCCGACACACATAATCCCACAGAAATATCCCCACACCTGCACAAGTACATATAAAGACAAATGGATACCCTCACACACACCCACAGACATTGTTGATTCACAGAGTAGATGGATGCACGTACAGTGGTACAAGTATTACAGTAATATGTGTGCAGGCAGTGCTATAAAAACACGCAGGAGCATGGCTCAAAGACAAGTTCAACTTGAACACACATCCATTTAGGCACAGCCACGTGTATTTATGACATCATTAAACAACCAGGAAAGGTAAAGCTTGACTACATAGGTCATTTTGAATTGTTTGTCTTTGCTCCATCTTCCCATTGCAAGCATGTAACTTTAAGGGAATTGTTAGATCTTTAGCTGTGTATTTGGCAGATTCGTCAAGCTGGTATTAGATCAGATTATATCAATAACCATGGTTATAATTATCTTTTTACTCAGCAATTTTATTTTATTGAATCCTTTTAAATGTTATTGTTCCTTGATCTTGTGACAGTGAAAAGCATTCACTCCAATCGACTCTTAATCAAATACCATCCATCACAAAGCAGCAGTGATGGGACCGAGTTGGGAAAACTCATTCATATAAAAAGTAACAACCAATTGGAAAATGTCTTACTCCACATCTATACTTATGTGTTTGAGGGTGATCAGAAAATGTGATTTACATGTCAGTGTCTGATCTTCCCTCTCATAATAGGTTGTGTGTTATTCCTTAGATTGCATTTGACTTGTCTGGATCCATTTAAACCTCTGTTTTATACCCTTGTGTCACTGTGTTTTTTAGTGTTACACATAAGTTATTGCTTATAAATATGTGATAGAGTCATATAACTTGTAAAAGCCCTTTAGGTAAATATCATTTTACAATACGTTTCACTTATTCCAAGCCTTCACTCAACAAAACTCCCCTTTCCTTTATAGATCCATTTGTGAAACTGGGAAGTTTTAGCTCTCATATTAACTGCATCTGAATTCAAGTTAACCATTTTAAAAGAAACTGAAATATAAAAATGCATCTGTGCATACATTTACTGTATTTGTGGTTGATTGATAAAATGATCAGTACGAGAGCTATGATTACTGAACTGTAAAGAAACATGGTCTCACTTTTGAAGTACATATCAGGAAAAGATTGTGATGCTTTCATTTTTTTTTGTACAAACACGTAATGAAAACCAAGATAGAACAGAACTTTTTGCAAATACTAACGAAATATAATTATTTCTTTCCTTGATCACAGTATCTACCCTGGAGCAGCATTAATCCCTCTCTTTTGTTTTCTTTCCTTAACCTCTGTTGTTTAGGTTATGCAATACTTCAGGCAATCATGGAGAGAGCGGGGCAGAATGCATGGCAGGTCAGGACACACACGCAAGCATATATTCTGAGTAATTTGTCAGAAAACACACATTTTAACAGAATATAGCCATGGACTCGTGAGGCGTGCATACTGCATGCAACAGAGACAAACACTTCTGTAAGCATGGTTATTTGCTCCCATGATTTAATGCATTAAGCATCTTTTATTTATGTGTACTTTGAACACTTGAAACGACAGGTCAGTGCAATCTGTGTGGAGAGTTTCAATGACGCAGCATATCGAAGACTTTTAGAGGACCTGGATCGACGGCAGGAGAGAAAATATGTCATTGACTTGGAGCCCGAGAGACTGCAGAACATCCTAGAACAGGTAATGAGCAATCAGTCTCACACCACAATGGGAGCTTGCTACACTGGTCCACTGCACAAGCTGGTGCAGTCTCGGAAAAAAGTCTAACAAAATGTTTCAAAATTCTTCAAGCTAATGTTAATTTGGAACTAAACACTTTAATGTCTATAAATGCCTTCCAAACTCATACAATATTAAGCATTCATATTACATGCTCAACATCTGTAAAAACATAAATGCATTTTCAAGATCACACGCAATTTTCTTTTTTCATTCCAGTTTTTAAAGATTTTACAAGTATATAATCTGAACTTTTTAGAGGAAGGAATGAACATACCTGGTCCAGTAATTGTTTTGTAGGATAGCTTAAGGATACAACATGTAAATACATGCATAAATAAATATGAAATAGTTTCTGATTGGCAGAGTTTATGTCAGAGCAATTGATCCAGAAAAGTCATCACACTCATAAAGCAGTGTTGTCTTAATGTGGGAATTCAGTGAGTAATTATTTATACTACTATAGTAGTAAAATATATACTATATTAAACATCAGTTATGTTTATGTTGACATGACCGCTGACATTTTAATTGTCTTCACTACCAAATCTTGTAGTGCAATTAAAAAAATTCACAATCTCCTATATCCTTATTCATTAAAAATAACATAATGTGATGTGACTGCAGGCCCGTTGCCATTGACATCTATTCAGACAGATCCTGCGTGATGCTTAAAGAAATATAGGTCTAATAGATGTCACAGCATAAATTTAGGAGGACATTTTATTGTACTGAGATTATGGGTGATAGTTCAGACATTTTGTTTCTGTTCTGGACTTGGCAGCACTTAACATTTGATATCTTGTGACAGTCCCACAGCTAAGGTTTTACACCATACAATGTGATATGATATGTAATAAAAATCTGGCCGTATTGGAAAAATGTAAAATAAATTATACTGCTAATTATAGTCGCATGGTGAACATTTTTTACTTTCACTTTAGTGATATTGTCCATCTGCCTTCTGTCTCCTTTACTCACGTAAGTGAAACAGCACTCCTGATGCCTCCTGACATCTGGTCAGAAAATACAATTTGAGCTTTTCATGGGAGTTCACAATGTGATATGAAAAGTGTGACTCCACCGACTGCCAGTGCAACTGGAGTAGTGACACAATACTGTCCTCTCACTCACCGCGTTTGAGCACACACAAATGCATATTACATCAAAGCATGCACTCTGACACCTTATGCTTGTCTAAGCTCGTTAGATCCTCTTTCTTGTTTGATGGCTGAGACGTGAGCTGTGGCAGGTGGCGCAAATATGTGTGTAGTGTGTGTCAGTGTGCCCCCTCGACTCAAGTTGGAGTGTAACATCCCATCAGTTCTGCCACCTGTCATCACTTTTGCTCTTATATAAGCACATCTGACAGACGTAGTTACACGTGCAACTAACACACATGAAACAGGCACATCTGCGTACATAAAAAGTCAAATTCATAATGAAGTAAAACTTACTAAAAACAAGCATGAACACCAGTTTACATGCTGTCCTCCACACACTCTTCAGAAGCAGCCTCCCCTTCGGACAGACAGACAGACAGATAGTTTCTTAATTGGCTTCAGTGGTGGGGGAACACACAGACGGAGACAAATGTATACCGAGGCGTGCGCACACAAACACTCGCCTCACAGTCGTCACTGCAGAGCTGGCATTGGCCAACGTCCCCGCTCTGAGACAGAGCCTGCTCTGTTTGTCTGCCCCTGCCAGCTGCAGCCTGTGTGTGTGTGTGTGTGTTTGTGCGACTGTGTGAATGTGTTAGTGTAGAGCTGTGGTGTTTTTGAGACTACAGACAAGGAAAAATGTGAACAGTGTTTTAATTAGGTTTATCTGCTGCATAAACAGGGGGGAAAAAAACGCGTTCTCCCATTGTCTTAAAAAATGTGCGCTATTTAACTCTGCTCGTCTTTATGGGCAAAACGGTGTGAAAAGCTTTCAGTATTCAGCTTGCATTTGAATTACTATGCAACTTAAATGCTGATAAGCAAACCAAGTCAGACTGTTAAATTGTGTTTGACTGCATTTTCTTTTATTCGTACTTTTTACCAGGCTGGTTAGAAGAGGTCAAAACAAACATCTCCGCTGAACCATTTCAAATGTTCCAAGAGTCCACTGAGCTTAAACCAGCATGTTACCGTAGATGGTTAAAGTCATGACTTCATATTTTGATTAACAAAGCGAAAGTGCCATTGTCACACAGTAGCAGAAAGCATCTTCACCTGGGCTCCCAAACCCCTGATTGCTACATTACAGACACATCAGGCAATCGCACAGCAATAATGTTTTCTCTGTCTGTGTTTCCAGGCTGTCAGTGTGGGGAAACATGTGAAAGGTTACCATTACATCATGGCAAACCTGGTGAGTAATTTTAATGGCATCGCTTCGAGCTTTTATAATGAGATCTGTTCGCTTCAGTGTTGCTGTGATGTTTTTTTTTTCTAATAGCAGACATGTGAGTTGTTCTTTTGTTGATTGCAAAGAAAGTTTAGATACGAGGCTGCCTGACAAACCTGAATTAATAACACAATTTTTAAGCCAAAACAACAAAGCTTGTTTTCTTATACCCAAATCAACATTAAACTCTAGAACTTTTAAATTGAAATGATAGAAACAGACCATTTCAAAGCCAGTTTCAGAGCTCATTAGAACTTTTTCCATTTCGATTTTAATAGGTCACTTCGCTATATAAAATGGAAAAGTATAAACAAATATCAGCAGAATAATTTAAAAGATATTTTGTATTCTATATTATTTTTGTCTTCTGATTCTCTGGTCCTGTAAGTTTTCATGGTTTCTATTTTGAGTCGGCTTGTAATGGTTGCGATCAAATGAGCCTTGGACACATTTATGTCAATTTTATAAGAAACATCAGAGGGTGCAACCAAAGTTATATCTGCAAGAAAACGGGCACATCTACATCCATGCCCAGACTGTTGCTTATATGTCGGCTGATGAGAACTTCTGAGCAACATAAAAGATGGACTCCAAAAAAGACGGCTGTCAAGTTCGACATTCTTTCAAAATGTGAGAAAGCTCCCAACAGTTTCTGATCTCAGAATACCAGCCACAGCAACACATTTGGATAGAACAGTTTCTTTTTATTCTTTTCTTCAGAATTCAGTCCAATTACATCCCCGGTAAAATGGGTGAAATGAAATATATTCAAAATATGACCATCAAAGGTGTAACTACTTCTCCAGCAACAGAATGGTAGCTCTTGAGCTAAACCTTCAAGCCATCCTTTGAAGGTGGGAATGTAAACTAAGGTTTCCAGAATAAATGTCTATAAACGATTAGCAGGGGTGGAGAAATCAGATATATCATGCCCTCTTTTTACAAATAAAGGAGAAAAACTCAAAATCTGACTCCTCAGAACCAAGGAAAAGTTGTTCTTTCACACAGTTGCTTAAAGTGTTGTGTCCTGGATCAAACATACTATGTGCATTACATCAAGTTGAAGATGCCTACCATTTCATAAATTTAATTGCATCTTAATGCTGAACTAAGCAGGCACATTTGGTGTTCAAACTGAACCAATCTTTGCCTACACTTTTACCTCAGCTCCGAATTATAAACTAAGTGGCTGCATTTGCCCATATTTGCACATTTTTATGTCATTTTGAGCAGTGAATGAGGATGTTTTGTTTCCTATCATATTCAAATCGAAGGTCCTTTTATTTCTAGACTGGTTTATTGCCATTTTTCCACTTAAGAAGGTTATAACTGTCCCAAGTTACTTGAGCCCATATCATAGCATGATGTGTTACCTCAAATTGAATATTTTGAACCTGCTTAAAAGTAGTTCTCTTCTTGACAGTGGAAAAAGGCCCTGTAAGCTAATAGCACGCGAAAGAGGCTTTCTGAGTTTTAAGCAATTAGCGTTCATCAACCCTGGATAACTCTCACCCTTCTTTACTCCATACGTCTATCTCTGACTGTAGCCTGAATTGATTCCTCTACACCACCAAGTCACAATGAAGTATTACTTAGCATTAAGTCTCTCTTGCTGCTGTGGAAAGGATATAGATGATCACCTGAGTATTTTTAGAATATAATGTCAGCAAAGGTTTACACACTAAGGAGAGCAATTTGTAGTTACTCTTCATAACCTGATCTTGCATGTTTTATTCTTTCTTACTGACTTCCATTTTGATTCTCCCAGGGTTTTAAGGACATATCTCTGGAGAGGTTCATGCATGGTGGGGCCAATGTGACTGGGTTCCAGCTGGTAGACTTCAGCAAAGCTATTGTCATAAAGCTGATGCAGCGTTGGAATAAGCTAGACCAACGAGAGTACCCTGGATCTGAAAGCCCACCAAAGGTAAATAAAACCTACAAAGGTAATGGCATGGTGGAAAATGTCAGTGGATGAATATATGTGTCTGCAAATTTCTGCATACACAATTACATACACTTACATGTTTATGACATTTGGTCTTAGAATACAATATTCTAAATAGACATTCACAGCAGATTGGAATGTTTGTGGGGGGTTTTTTCATTTAATTTATTTTTACCTATTTCAGTGGATGTCCCAGTCGCTCCATCCACAATCATGGCTTTTGACAACATTCATGTCACTTCTTTTTGAACATTTATTTGTCTCTTAACATGCCAAAATCTCTGTACTCTGTATTCTTCATCCTTCTCCTTTTCCTCTCTATACCACTGTGGACAGGGTAGTGACCTAGAACCAAATGGAGCTGCATATATTAATTGGAAATATGGCCACCCACCCATTAAATATACATCATACTGCAGCTTATTGTCCGTGCTCAAAATGAACCTGGAAAAAACAATCCAATCTAAGACACACATGCAAATATATATATATATATATATATATATATATATACATGGCTGTGTACTGTTTGCATTCTACATATTTTCACCTCCAGGACATTGTTAATTAATTAATCATTACTCTCAGATTTATCTGATGAGTCCTCATTAGCAGATGCCGACTCCATCAATCTTCCCCGTACCATTGACACACTGTTTGTGTACTAATTGAGGTAAACCTATTTTGCATGATTGTGACAGATAAACAACATAACAGCTCTCAGTACCAAAATAGGGAAACACAGCTGCAGGTTGTTGGAACTTTCAAAACCAAAAAACATCTGCGAGGAGGTTTTTTGTCCAACGCAGCTACAAAAGATTATTGAAACCATCTTTTGACAAACATAGAGAGAATATGTTCATCATTTCAAACTGCAACAGAAAAAAACTCAGTGACAAATGATGCTTCCAAATTGCCCCAGGCTAATTTGTGCAGCTTAAAAACTGAATTGAGTTTGCCTTTAGGCCAGCTGGTAGCCTCAGGCCAAGCAGAAATCAGGTTTAATAATATGCAGCGTGAAATTGCCATTGGGACATGTCCCCTCTGCGCCGGAGACTAGATTTTGAGCTTATTTCTTCGGCCATCAATCAAAATCTCTTAAACCACCCTGTGTGCCTTGAAATTAGATTTTTGTGCTCTGAGATTTTGTTTAAAGCCTAATGAAAATGATCAGTGGCCTGGCAAAGAATTATATTAAGGTCGTAAAAATTTAGCCACAATGAATTTAATCACAGAGCCTCTTCAGCATTCTGAAGTCTTTTCTCCTCCTTCTCAGTACTCCTGTACAGAGCAAAGAATCCTGCCAAAATGGTTTTAACCTAACCTAAGTTCATTTTTTTCTTCTGACCTGGCAGGATGAACTTTTCACTGGGTCATCCTGTTACTTTAATATGTTTCTTGTGAAGCAAGAAGGGGCACAGTGTGGAGTAACATCATTTGATACCTTCAAAAAGCATCTGAATGATTTCTTGTGTGGATGTGGATTTTTCCACATGATTTACCAAAGAGATTACTAATGAGTAGGTTTCTTTTCCCCCTCAAATAGTTTTAAAATGTTTAAATTCACTTCAAACTTGAGGTCTACAGTCTCAACTTTGAAGGTTTATGTGACAGTTTGTTTCATGCAATAAAGCAGAACTGCTCCTTTTTATCTTAAAGATCCCTTTATAAGCATTTCTTTTCTCAACAAGAGCTGAAATCTCAACCAAATTATTGTTCTGAAATGTGGCCAAAAAGAAAAATGCCATGTGGGAGATGTAGACACTGTGTGGGGTTATGAAATTGCTACATATTTTCTTGGTGACAAGGCCATCATGTAAATATGTGCCAACCTTTCAAATCTTGTATCTGTTTGGATTGTCGGTTTTCTATGTCCTTAGGAATGACTGCTACACATTTACAAAATGCATTATCTGCCAGACACTTTTTACACTAGACCCTTACAAACAGCTTGATAACTTCCCTGGATCTAAGAGAAAACAAATCTTAACCAATTGCTGTTATCGCCATTTTTCCTCGTTGCAGTCTTCAAATCCAAAAGTTGGAGTTCCTCGCTATTCATTTGAGTGTATTGTGGCGGTGTCATGGGCCCAAAAAACAATAATGAAATGTTCAAATGGTTCAAAAGTAGCAATTGTTAGTTTTTTTTATGGTCTATTATCTATTTGAACAGCTTTAATTTAATGAGAGATCTAGGGAACAAGTGTCAGGGTGATTCAATTGAATTAAACAGATAAAGGTGTAAAAACAATTCCAAAGACTGAATATGATATTGTGAGAAGTATATTTGTTTCTTTTTTCCCTCTCTCCCAACTTGGCCTCATTTTGATGTCAGTCCCTTGTTTGTATCAACCCCATCCAAAGCCATTATGCACAACCTTTAATAGAAATAAATATATTTAGGGTATACAATATATGATTTATATAATTTTGATTTCAGGAGGTTGATTAAAGCATCTTGAACTTAACATCACCCAAGATGATAGTGACTGATACACTAATAGAAGAATGGAAGCCTTTTTTCCCCTTTCTCCTACTCTAATTACTTACCATTACGATTTGAAGTGTGACTATAAATGCCATCAAGATGTCAGCTTTTAAGATTAAATGCCTGTTTCTATATTTTGCAGAGATGTTTTTTTTTTTCGCAGAAAGAGAAAACACCATGGCCAATTTTCTCAATTTTGCTGTCTTCTCTCCTCGATGTGGAGTCACTTGTGTTGGTTTTTTTAGTCAGTTCCTAAGGGTGTCTTTCCTTTCAAGAGGCAGACATGAGAGAGGGGTGACACGGTTGTGCACCCTACCAAAACACACATTGTGGGGTACAAATCAAGGGGATGTTAGTGTGAGAGATACCCCCTGCAGAGACGTAGAAAACATCTCAGCCGTTTTCCCTCTTTTCTTCCATTTTCATCCCTCTGCTTGTTTCCGCCGTGATGTGAAGGCGTCCCGCTGTGTTTTTGACTGCCTCTGTCTGTGTGGCACTGTGTGCTCGGAGTGGGGGTGTTGCTGTAGTTCCCTGCAGCTCTGCGCCCCACCTATGATGAATTTGTTGAACAGTCTGTCATGATCACAGTCACTTTGAAGACTTTCAGATACTGAGGGGTATCTTATCCGTCCTGTTATCTGTTCTACTTTTTAATTGCTCAAGTCATACTTCCCTGGTTCTCTGAAACGTAGTTTTCCGGGTATTCGGTTGTAATTTGTGAAGTGCTACTGCAAGTTTGCAGTGTGAATCTCATTTAATGACTTGTTAATGATGTCCAGGTCCTGAACCTTTGCAAAACCTGAAAACGCTGTCTGTCTGAAACAGGCACATTTACAGTTATGGAACATTTCTAATGGTGCTGATTGATTTTTACTTGTGTCAAATAAAACTCAAAGCAGTTGGACAGATTGCAGCAGTGTTCCCCTTGCTTGTACTGCACACTGTCAATACTGGTTTACATTGACTTTAGGTGGCCTGAGCCCTTGGCTTGAAAACCAAGCTCAGATCATGACTATGATTTTCATTTAATAAAGATAAAATCGTAATTGTAAAATGGATGTAGATGTTGCCGATTATATTTCCCATCTGTGGTTATTTTTGTACTGCTTTTTAGCCTTCACTTTAAAAAGTAATTCTTTGTGAAGTTTATAATCAGGATCTTTTTTTCAAATTATTTAAGAAAATGTGTTTGAAGAAATGTGAGTGACAGAATTTATAGAATAACATCAACATTCACATTGATAATAGTTTTCTTTTAACACTGTTAAAAAGATGTGATGATGATGAACAGAAAAAGAAGACACAAAAGCAGTTTAAAAAGAAGCTACTTTCACTCATCTTTCATTTCAATACACAAAATGTTTGTCTTTTACAGAGTTTCCGGGGTTAACAGAGGGTGAAGGCTAACTTTTGTCATCATTGTATACGTTTTAAATGTTGTGCTTTGAGATAAGAAAGTTCTTAGAACTCATCAAAGATAAGTGCTTTCCCTGTTTTTCTTTCTATTCTGCAGTACACCTCATCTCTAACTTATGATGGTGTCCTTGTGATGGCTGAGGCTTTCCGCACCCTTCGTCGTCAAAAAATTGACATCAGTCGTCGTGGCAACGCCGGTGACTGCCTTGCCAATCCAGCTGCTCCCTGGAACCAAGGAATTGATATGGAGCGTGCACTCAAGCAGGTTTGTGAAAGCTGGATTCTGCCAAAGTTGAACTTTCGTGCAGTTTGACAAAAGTATGAGAAAAGATATTCATAAATACACTTAAAGGAAACACTCATACCATCATATTGTAAATAGATGAAATGGTCCAGAAATCCATAGTGATGATTTGCCTGTGAAGTAGTTGCAGTTGATTACTTTTAATTATTCTCACACTTCATTAACACTGTGAACTCCCATCAATCCTCATCTATAAGTGACTGATAAAATTAGATGAGTAAATCATGTACCTGATCTATTTATGTTTCTTTTTTTTCTTTTTTTTCTCGGTAAGATCTTGATCAATATGATTTAACATGTATTTTCAACATTTTCAAAGCAATACTTTTCTATATCTGGCTTGTCAGCAATGACAAAAGTGAGATGCAATGTGACACTTTTGGTGGGGTATTTATTGCTCATTACTGCACTGAAAAGGTGATCTCTGACAGGCTCCAGCTGGTGTGTGAGCACAGCTGCAGCTGCTCTGCCTGGATGTGGCAGTGAAGCCGTACCTCAGTGGTTTTTGTTTGGACTTTGGCTGCCGCTGCGGTTCAATCCATGATGCTAAGGATATGCCCAGCTGTTTCCATTTAAACCTGCTGTGCTTCTATTTTAGATGTGTTACAAACAAACCACGGGGGTTTGGGTTTGGAATGAGTTCAGCACTTCTAAGAGTTACAGCCATTAAAGACAGATATGAGCATGTCACGGCAATAATTGTCTGGACAACAACCACGGCCGCAGTTAGAGTGACAGTCATCTCATCCCTGGATGTTAATTACGATCTCAGTTGCAGTCTGTCTCGGCAGCAGTCAGTCGGTGTGCATCATCACTTCTAATGCTGTCGTATTGTGACAGTTCAGACTTCCGTCTAAGTAACAACGGCTGAACGTAGCTGTACGGACGCTCTAATTGGTACTTTAAACGTTCATCCACACCTGAGATGCCAATTGGGCACACTGATAAATCTGTGCTCTGCTCTTAATGCTGTTGGCCCTTAGCATTGCTCTGCTGCAGAAATATTACAAGCCAAAGATTTAAAAAAAAAAAAGGTTGCTGTGTAGCTCCTCGTAACTTCTACGTTTAATAATGAGAGTTGTGCAGTGAAGCTGCTGTATGAGGTTTTCACGTGGGCATCTTGGATTTCTTTAATGATTTTTGGCTCTTCAGTCAAAGTGTCATATCATGAGCCTCAGTGTTAGGCTTCTTTTTTAAAGATATTACTTCTTTCCTTCTCCTGATGGAAGCATTTGTGCAGGGCTCCTACAGCCTGATCTCTCCATGAAGACATGAATACGTCCTGACTATGCACTGAATGTCACTACAGTCCAAACCAGCAGACATCTTGCCGCTTACATTCCCTCATATGTCAGACCAGCTTTCATCCATGGGACAAGGAAAATACGAATATCAATGTGCAGTAAAGCAAAAGACAAGAAGAAACGTTTCACTTTTCTCCTCTTCTGTGTAATTCTCAACGGAAACTCCCACAAGCCATGAAAACTGTTTCATGTATACCACATTCAAATTGTTGACTTGAGCATGAGATGTTCACAGGACACATTAAATTAATGTGTCAGCTTCCTTTATTTTTAAAGCTAAAAAAAATATTTTCCTTGCAACTGCTTCTTGAAGCATTGAACTCTGTATGAATATGTTGCTGGCTTGGCAGCAACATGAACAGATACATTTGCTTTTTTTTACTGCCAGTAATGTTAAAGATTACATTTGTTCAAAGTATTGTTTTCATTTTCCCCATTTCTTACCATCTTTGTTGGTTTAAATCCAGGTGCGCATCCAGGGCCTGACTGGAAATATCCAGTTTGATCACTACGGTCGAAGAATCAATTATACCATGGATGTGTTTGAACTAAAGAGCAATGGACCACGCAAGGTAGGCTCCCCTCATGGGTTAGAATAGAAAAGAACATTTTGAATTTATATGTATGAAATCATGGGCCTGAATATTACAGTCTAATTTCAAGTTATATTTTAAAGCTGCATGGACAATAAGCAGTGTGGGAAAAGTGTGAAAAGACCCAGTGAAAAAAACCCAGTTGATTTTCTCTGCAAATGTGTCAACAGGAAATTGACTCTGAATTGTAAATGTTTGCTGTCTGTTATTTTTAATGCTCAAATACTATGCTTGTCAGTGCATGTTACATTTTTCTTGTAATGTTCCTCATGCCCATTTACTCCACAGTGGCTTTTCATAATTCTCGATTATCATTTCTTCTGCACATCTAGCTTCACTTGACTGAAACAAACCAACAATCACAGCATGTAGTTTGATAGCTTTTCGCACCATTTACAGCAATAAGCGTTAAGGAAAAAAACTTGAACATTTATCTTCATAACTACAAAAAGTAGATGATAAGGCCATGGTTGATATGATTTATAGATCAGTTTTACTGGAAAAAGCACAGGGGCAGCACGTATAGTCAAGACAAAAAAAATACATTTGTATTCTGCCTTCAGCAGCAGAATGTTTGCTGAAGGTTTTTGGCTCAGCCTCAATATCTTCTGTGGTTCCAACAGGAAATTTGACAAGATGTTTATTTTTTCTTTCTTTTTAAACCCTGTATTGCTTTTTCACCATCTCATTCATCCTTTTCATGTTTCTTCAGATTTATTGAAGACTTATTTAATTTTTGGTCTCATCAGCTCAATGCTTTGCTCCTCTTCTTCTCTTTACCTCAGATTGGCTACTGGAATGACATAGACAAACTTGTGTTGGTCCAGAACGAAAATGGTCTTAACAACGACAGCTCAGCCATGGAGAATCGGACCGTTGTCGTAACGACAATCATGGTAATGTACCCTGTGACTGCTTTGCATAAATTTGTCCACCGACATGTTACTTCACCTTGTAAATGACCCACCTTGTAAATTCTGGTCATGTTGCATTTGAAGATTTAAATGATTGACACATAAATGATGTGTCAGAACCGATTACAACAGCCCCATGGAGCTGTATTTCTCCGAGCCTAATCAGGTACAGAACATTACAGCAAAGGGCAGAGAAAGTGGTTATTGTATAATCGCTTCAATAATTTTAAGAAATGTGCACCTGTGATGGAAAGTGTTCCACAAGGACAAAGCACAACATTAAGGAGTTGGATAATGAAAAACTTTATGCAAAACACAGTTCCTAACGTGCATCTTAAAACACCTAGACAGGTTTCTAAGGCACTCGCAAGATGATCCTTGAGATGATTAAGACAATGTTGCAAAGACAAAAAAAAGATTTTTATTGCATCTGAGAAAAACTTTCCATGCATCACCTTCCAGCAAAGTCATAGCTGTTTTGCTTATCTAATATGGTTGCAGTAAGATTTTAAAGCTGGACTTGAAGCTAGTTTTTGCCTCTGCTGCTCAGTCTTGTTCTGCAGTGACAACACAAATACGTTTGGCCTGGAGCATAGTTCTCACTACTCAGATAACATTTATCTTTGAGTCTGAGCCTATCTACACATTTTTTGAGTCATCGAGATAACTTAGTGGACATTCAGTGTACAGCTACAGCTAAGTTCTGATAACCTCGCTCACACACACACTACACACAAATAGGGAGAGGGCTGCCAAACAGCACAGCACCAGCAGTAAGAGGTCATTACATTCTGAAATGGAAAGTCTTGTCTGATAAAATGAATAAATGAATAAATCAATAAATAGATACATATAAACATTTTAGCAGATTTCAAAAGGAAAGGCATTTTTGTTGGTAATAAATTACATAGATCTGCACAAACTTGAAACGCAAACAGAATGATAAAACTGTGCTCTCTCACATGAGGCTGAAGCTGACCCCCTACTGTAGCCTTTGCAGATGCATCTTGTTTAATGGAGCAGGCGGAAGAAATACAATTGACATAGAGCCACAGGAAAATGTGCAATGAGGAGTTCGCATGGCAAAGACTTGTTAACCTTGAAGAAAAATCGTATTTGAGATTGTGAGTTACACGAGATTAAGGGAGGCCCCAAAGCTCAGCCTGGAGGGGGTGGCAGTTGTCCAGCTGGAAGATTAAACTAATGTCTCATTAGAAGGCAAATCTACAACTGACCTCCAATCACCATTTCAAACTGACCCCAGTGCAGTCTTTTCTAATGACTTACGCATAGACACTGCCACTTTAATTACTCCACTTCTACAAAACGAGGATAAAGATGGGCTAATTGTTGGATTTGTGCACATCCTCTGCTAACATTTGATTTCACTTCACCCATCTGCAGCCTTGTTGTTCTGGCCATCCCCCTTCCTGTAAATGCAATCAGTCTAATTCAATTATGCATGCAAAATGATGCAAGTGAAAAAGAACTCAAAAGACTCATTTCAGCCTAAGATAAAACTAGCCATTGATGCTTGAGCTGGGGCTAGTTATTATTTTCTTTTCAAGGCAGATCCCTGATAAATGTGACCAAAATACCCGTAGTTGAAGCTGGATCAAGTGTTTAAAGTTGGGGATTTGACGATGTAGCGAGTTTGCACTGCCGCTGGTGGCCAGAAACAGCACCAATAGGCCAGAAACTACACCTGGTGCTGTGAAATGAATCAAGTCAATTTGGAGAGTTTGAACCTTCATGTTTGCCGGCCTCAACTGAGCACTGTGTAGTTCTGTGCCTCAAGCCAATTGGAGATTAATTAAAAAAGTATGATGTTACTGTGTGATTACCTCTAAATGTTTGATAAGGTGTTTAGCATGATATTATACGATGACTGCTATACTATGTCACTGTTTGTTTATTTACTGCAGAAATGTACGAGAGATTAGTAGTGTTACTGCATACAGTGCTTGTTTCCTCCCTATGGCTGCGTTCACATGTCTATCCATCATAAGATTCTTTCAAATCATTGGACTCCATCTCACTTTCCATTCTTTCTTATATTTTGGCTTAAATTCCCCCGTTCCTCCTTCCACACCCCAGTGTTTTTATGTCCATGCCTGCTCTCTTTGCATTTTTTTCTGTGGATGGTGACCTCAGCAGGCCTTGACTAACGTTTAGCTCAGCCACCTCCTCCTCTTTGCAGCCTCTGATGATGAAGAAGACTCTGCTGCGACACTGATCCTGAGTCTGCAGGCAGAGCGAGAGGTTGAAACAAAGACTGTCCTGAGTTGCAGGCCCTCAGCCCGCAGAGAACAGCTAGACTGATACTAATGTCGTACCAAGACTGTTTGTGTCTTTTTTTTTTTTCTCCTGTGTTTTGTTTGAAACAGTAATGTGTTGTATTGATGTCAATGCTCTGCTTTGAGGTAGTATATGCTGCAGTGATACTGTCAAGGAGAATAGATGGGAAGGAGCCTGTGATCAGCCTGTGAGGTTGCCTTTCTTACTTTGCACCTGTCTCAATCCCATGGGAAAAGTCAAAGCTGGATGAGAGCTTTCATTCTGTTTCCATGGCTTCTGTTAAGGTTTGACATTTGGCTGCACACAATCCATAGACTGTGGATACCACACTCACTTCCTGCATCTCTGTGGCAGCCTTATTTGTACAAATTGCATCAACAATTTTTCATTTTCAAAGGGAAGTGCAATCGGTAAGTTATAGGACTTCATGTCATTCCTGCACCTTTTCATTCTTCACTTTTTTATCGCATTCTTCATTTATTTTCTCACTGTCACTGAATAAATGTACTCAGTCATGACTGAATGGTAAAGACAGGAAACATTCCTTAAGTTTCCCTTTAGTTGTGAGAGCACATATCTGATGCAGAATAAACCATCGTACAAGGAATTTACATGACCAGCTTTGTCCTAACATGTATTTTGTGTTACTTCCAAGATGACGTTGTGATTTTTAACTAACACTGCTGATGAAAAAGTAATGTGCTCTTTAAGTATCCTGAGCTAAAACTTAATAAATTATAAATTACAAATCATTGTACATTGGTTTACAATGCATATATAGTGTACATTTACATAGCTGTATGTCAACAATACCATGTTCATGAACACTGACTGTCCAGAGTATAGTTCTTTGATAGGGACTGTGCAATTGTTAAGGAATTAACCCACATAAAAATCATGGTGTCTTATTCTTCTGTTTTCTGGGGATTCAATTCATTGTAGCATTAAAAAAATTACATGCTTGTTCTTTGGTTTGCTTGCGAGGCTAAATTATCAAAAAATAGTTCACTGAAGTGCCCATGTTTATCATAAAAGGATGTACAGTCACTTAGAGTAAGGTCAGAAGTTGCTATTACATATGCCTGTTAGATTTTGTAAGAGTAACATTTGGAAAAACAATTCATTTACTTCAAAGAATGAATGTTGTTTATCAGACTCATTCCAAATAACCAATACTAATTAAATTTCCAGACGAGTTAGGAACACATTTCTTAATTCATTTTAATCGTTTCATAACAGACAGGAGCATGAATTATTAAGTGGCTCCAGCACCCCACTTCAAAGTTTAGAAGATCTTAGTTCAAAGGAGTTTTCAGTCTGAATGATCAGCTGATCAGTTGATAAGTGACATGTAAGGGTGTCAGATCGGGGGTTCAAAAGTAAAATCTGCCAAAGGTTTAATCTTTCCTGATAGTTATTGATCATAGCTCGTTCTTAGGAGAGTATGCAAAGACCAATTACTTAGACCACTGTCGGATGAACAAATCCTTCAGACAAAACTGCAGGAAACACTTGAAATATTTCTTGGGGAAAAAAAAATCCACTCAACATGTTTGCCGCTGCACCACGAGAATGGAACATGGGATTGTACACGGAGGAGATCATATATCAACTCCGCACAATACAAGACAGCCAAGTTCTCTGGCAGTGATCTCATATCAGATAGACAGACAAAGAACAGATGTTCTGTGGTCAGATTAGTCCAGGTTTCAGCTGCTTCTTAGAAAGCAGATGTCAGCTTCGATGTGCCAAAGATGACAAAAAAGACATCCAAGCTGGTGTCAGAGAAAGGAGAAAAAAGCTGACTGTACTGCTTATGTTGCCAATGTTTCTGCTTTAAAAAAAGGTATTGATTTTAAAAATGGGAAATCAGACAACCACAGACTAATAACCAGTTTCAATATTACATTCCATGACAAAAAGGACAAATTCATCTTTGAGATTCTCTCAGTTAGTATTAGTTCACGAACATTTAATGTGTTTTATATCTAAATCTAGATAGTTGCTTCACCTTTAACATCTTTTATGAAGACAATAACATAACTCCTGCTCTTGTGTTCATCAAATAAAGTTGAAAATGAATGAACAATTAGGGATTTTATTGTATTTTACACTTTAAAAGTCATTGGCATGGCTTGAACCACTTTATACTCACTTTAATTGTCATTGGGCATTTTGCAGCATCAAACTTACAGTGGAGATCAGGTAGACCCTGCAGTGGTGATACACTCCATTACCATCTAGGTGTAATTAAGTCCAGATGCATTTTCTGGTTAATGGAGTTATCAGCTGGGTCCGCTCGCCACTAGTTGACTTTGTAACATTTTACTAGCTGCTGAACTGCACTTCTCTCTTCATGGGAATACAACTGTTACATATTGGCAACGACTTGCTTGCCAAATTTATGTAGATTGGGGATTGTAATTACTGTAATACCCCCAAAATTGGACTGATTAAACATCTGATTGACTGCAGCAGACTGTAACCATATGACTGTCTGGCTTTACTCCCTGGCCATCGAAGTGGATGTATCCTGGGCTAATTAAATGTCTTAGTGTTCAGCTAACTTTTACAGGACAATCTGTGTTTTTCTTTTTCAAATACAGAGCTGATTGAGCATCAGGTTGGTAGTTTGACTGAATGACTGGACATTGAGGTGACTGCCCAGTAGGATGGTTGTCTGATCTACTGCCTAGCCAATTTGCTTGCATGACAAGTCCTGTATTCGTTTTTGGCTCCAGTGTGAAGTGTTTCATGTCTTATCAGCCCCTACCATTTGCTGCAACAAAGCTCAATTCCCTCTTCCACCCAACCATTTCCCTCTTCATGTGTGTTTTATTTTTCTCTCCCTTCTCTTGCTTTCTCTGTCCTTTTTTAATCCAATTTTATTTTTTTATTTCATTCATATTCCCAATCCCTGTGCCACAGTTTCTATTCTTTCTATATTCTACACCCCTGTAGGCATCTTGGTTTGTAGATAATCTCCTTTTTTCTTTTTTTCTACAGCTTCATACAGCCAATTTACCTGACCTGTCTTTCTGTCCACCTTCCTCTTTCCAATACCCTTTCCTCTCAACCTTCCAACTTCTGGAAATGTTCGCTTCTCTCTTATTGCCCCCTTCCCTTCTGTCATTTGTTGGCATGGACGCACTGTATCTTTTTTTTTCCCCAGCAGCATTGAATATAAGCACCAAATTTAGCACACATGGACATTAATGGTTTATCCTCAATGCATCTAAGCTCAACTCCAATCATTTTTTTGCATTTCCATTATGGGCTGTAGTGTTAGGAGACGCCATCCCCAAATAGAAATGTAAAAAACACTAATCGAGTCAAGCCAAGCTGCGCTGCGTAAATACCAGTGGAAAACCGAGAAAACTTGGGTTAGAAACTGGCTGAGTTGAGCTGACAGCAGACTGCAGGCTTCTGATTGGACAGGGAGTGTCATAACGGGGTGACATACACACATGTATGTATGTAGGGGTGTGGAAGAACAGTTTTTCTATACTTTTTAAAAGAGACAACTTAATTCCAATTCAGTGTTTGATCTCATGACACCTCCAAGATGACTCATTTGTGAACACGCTAAATGGAGGAATTTCACAGGATCAGTCAGCTTTACGCTCTTGCCGTTCACTGGTGACCCTTCTTTGTGTTGACACATTTGATTTTATAAAAACTGCTTATAAGTAGTTTATTCTCTGAATGTGGAAATCTATCATAGATATCTAAAAAATCCTGCTTTTTTCAACTCTTCAGCTTGGAATTTGGTGCATTGTGAGAGAACAACTCAGGCCTTGGAAAGTGTTTTTAATATATTTTATTCACTGTGCCTCAACAGGAAGCATCTATGTATAAAGGATGTTTCATTTGCCATAATAAATGATCATAGTCAATAATTGATTTTCAATTGCAAATACACTATGCCCTCCTGCTTGGATTTTTCGTTGTCCCTTTTGTCATCAATCTTGGGATCATTTGTTCATTTCATCTTTCTCAATACTAAATCATGTTTGTCAGTCCTACTGTGATTTTTTTCATTCATTCTAAAAGTTTGTGTTCATTGTCAGAGGAGAACCAAACACACTATTCTGATTACAAGCATCAAATAGTTATCTCTAGAGCAATATTTAATGTTATTTGTTTTCACAACAAACTGGAAACCTTAAGGTTTATGAGGGAACAAGACCAAGAAACAATGGACAGCTAAAATATAACATGAATTATGTTAATGTTTTAACTTTGATTGAACCTCTTATAAAACGAGATTTCTCTCTTTGTCTCTGCCACAGAATGGTGTTGATTTAGCTGTTAGAAAGAATTTTCTTCAAACTGTTTTACTGTTCATTAACATTATGATTCATGTTGAGTCAATGGGATAAGCCCCAGGAACTGCTAATGTCTCTAATAATGACATTTTTGGAAAGTGTTGTTTTTTTATGTTCTCATACTGAATGTAAATGCCACTTTTTTTCAATGTATTTAAAAGGAAGGTTAACGATGTTGTTTGGGGGGTTTGCTGATAAGTGTAAAATGTCTAAAGGAAAAATATTAAGAATAGATTAAGAACTCAAGTCTTATTTGCATGAAAGGGATGTAATTCGTTTTAACAATACTGATGTGCAAATAATAGCAAAAACGCAGGGCTCAGGGTGTTTGTTTGCTTTTAATGGGATTTTTGTTTTTCAGACTCTATGTAAATTTAAAATTACCAAAATGCTATACATGCTTTGGTACATAGTCTTGTATTATTTAAGTGGAATATTGTACATTCTCATGCTAACAACAGTTGCTTTGTCATTATTTCATGATTAGATTCAGAAACACACAGTTTACTGTCATGTAAGTTTCTTTTTGAAGCTGTACATATGTGACCATTATTGACATAAATATGCATGTTGACTCACAGAAATCTCCTTTTGGAAATAATTCCTTCCGGCTTTCCCTCGGCCATACACAAGCATGCAGGTTATTCTTTTCATGTCAAGAGAAAGAAGATCAATATCTAAATCTTTTGATATCATTCAGCTCTCACAGTAGGATTGCTTTAATCGGGCGGCCTGCCTGCTTCTAAGCCACACTTCCTTTCAATGTTGTTCAATTTCCTAAATTGAAGACCTAAGTGTTGATTCCACCCAGATGTATGTCAAAGTGATTTTAGATGATCTAGTTTGATCACATTTGAAGGTGTCAGTCCAGTCTTCTTTGTTGATTGAATCGTACCCGTTTTTGTATGTAAAACAATTTCCTGAATAGGAAAGGCAAAATATTGATTTTTTTACTGTTTGTCTTTGTCTTCATAAACCTTTGACTCGGCAGTGTTCGGATTTGCTAGTGTTTCGATCAAGATTTAGCTCCAGCTATTTGACCAATTTTGGGTCAAGCAGTCACAAGCATACAGACATAACTAACTTCTTTTGAATGATAGGTTGTCACTCCCCAGACTGAGTGCCCGTCTTTATTCTTAATGTGTCTCTTATGGTACATGCAGTTACATTTTTTATCTTTTTTGCTCGTCTATCAACTTAGTATTTAACTGTTCCTCTTCTTGATTCCTCTCCTATCTCACACTATTAAAGCAGCTGTCGCCTTCCTCTTCTTTGTCCTCTGTTCTCGTGTTCACCTCTCTTTTCTCAACTTGAGAGTTGCGCTGAGTCAGATGCAGGTCCCACTGGAGTCATGTAGAGTTACGTAATGTCATAAAACAAGGCACTGAAAATTCACATCCCAAGATATGAAGTCGACCCCAAACTTCATCTTTCAAAAAGCAATATTAACATTCTTTCATATCAACACTGAGTCTGTCTTGGAGGTTTTTTTGACTGACTGCTGTTTTTTTTTTTCAATTATACAGATGTTTGGATAGCTAATCGTAACATGGTTCTACATTTACAGCACAATATGCTACTATCGCCATTATTAGTTTAATATACCTACATTAATTATGCATGACTTATATCTTACAGAGCTTTATTCTTTTGGATTAGTACAGTAGTAGCTTCTTTTCAAGATAACTGTGTCTGTTTTCATTGTTCTTTATACACACACTCCACATGTGCATTCTTTCCAGTTTCAACCTGACTGCTGGTTCTTCTTGATTATTGCCACCATCTACCTCCAAACAGTTGCCTTTCTCCCTTTATGCTCGCTTTATAGGAGGGTCCATATGTGATGCTGAAGAAGAACTGGGAGTTTTATGAAGGCAATGACCAATATGAGGGATACTGTGTGGACTTGGCCTCAGAGATTGCCAAACATATCGGAATCAAGTACAAGATCTCCATCGTACCAGATGGGAAATATGGAGCCAGAGACCCTGAGACAAAGATATGGAATGGCATGGTTGGCGAACTTGTATATGGGGTAAGACTGGAAGAGTATGCTTTCAAGTTTTCTTATATTTATTTTTTAACCAGTTTTTAACCCTAAAGTATGACTATTTGGCTTAATACATTTTCAAAGTTATTAAATAAATAGAAATGTGTAAAGCGCTATTATGTCACAAAACAGAAATGTTGTTGTCTTTGAAGAGGTCATTTAAACTGGTGGACACTTACATCACACAACAGCTGAGGAATGCTTAAAATAACTATCACGCAGTATATAAACTAGTCTCGAGCCCTGCGTTTCCTTAGTTACCATGTTCCTTTCCCACAGAGACGCTGTGTCATGAAGTGTTCACTTATATCAAGGGAATTTGGCAGGCTCGCTAATTGTGTCTTTGAGTTTCTGAGATTTTACATTTCTGCTCGACTGCAAATGTTATCAACATGCAGATCCCTGTGTCAGTAGTCACTCTGAGGTATGGTGGAAGTAGCAGACAAGTAAAGGAAGAACGGCTACTGAATAAACTACCCTTCAGAACCCAAAGTGAAGAATCCCTACCAGAATCCCCCCACTCCACCTTGCTTTGAATCACACTATCTATGAAGTCCTTCCTCTGACTGATCAAAACATATGTGAACAATTTTTAAAAAATCCACCACTTCTTTATCCTCTAACTTCAAGCTGATAGGTATTTGATATTTCTGGTATTCTTACGATTGAGCTGATGTCAAACAGTTCTCAAAAAGAGAGAAAAATGGTAGAATTTATTTTTAATGAAAAACTGAAATAGTTTGATGCAGGATGTTTGAATGCTTGCACAGAAGCCATTGAAGTGGGTTAAGCAGCCAGCTTTGAAAATGGTTAACACTTCATGTGGTATCACAAAACACAAACAAAACACCAAATTCTGCATTTGGAGCAAGGAGCAGTGAAAAGAGGCATTACACGTTAATGTACTGACAGATCTTAGAGGACTAGATCATAAAAAGGGCTTTCTGCTACATCTGAGCAAGCATCAGGCATGAAGGGATTTTTTCGTATGGAGAGAAATATAAAGAGACTAACATGTATTGGTTTAAACATTCAACGTCCTGTTTTTAACTTTGTTATGGCATAGATTAGAAGAAGTGAACCCACCTAAACTATCACCAAAAGCTGTTTAAGGTCATGCGAAAAGAAAATATGAGTTATTTCATTGCTTTTTGTTAGCTTGCACTTTACCATAAAAAACATTTATTCGGGGTGTTATTGGAGCAAGAACATTTCCTTAGGTTTTTTCTTAGTGGTAAAGTGATATCTGATGTTGGAAAATTAGCAATTGATGCTTTGGTTCCTGTGGGTTGAGGGTTGGTTTCTGTGTGGATAGGGCTCGTTTTGCACAGATTCCACCACATCCTGTGAGATTAGCATCAGGGGAATTTTAAGGTTGGACCAACATTTCAGGCCCTTTTTCCTTGTTTTTTTTAGCTTTTAACGAGTAGCTTTTCCAGGGTCCAATGGGATTGTTCTAAAACTATTTAAGAAGCCAGCAAAATAATTTATTGTCTATACAGTTCTTTTTAGTTGTTAGTAAAGTTTTTCTCTTTTCATTCAGGAAGAATGTATTAAAAATTACTGGGTTGTAAGTCAGTAAAATGCTCTGCAGTTAGATTGTAAAAGTCCTCATAATTCTTGTTAAATTCTGGTGAAGTGTGTGGTAACTGTCTCATATCTTTTCATGGAAAAAAGGGCACATTCAGTAATCATTCATTAATTCATTCAGTGTTTTCATTTCGTTGAGTAGAGCAGTAAACAGTCCAGTATTTTTCTCTTTTAGCTACTTGGGACACACTTTCTATGCACATCCCTATTTGCTGTGTCTTTTTGATTGATGATGTTCAAACACACATTTTCAGAGACAGATATTGGGATTCTTCAAAGGGTATGTGCGAAGTCTATAGAATGTAGATGTCCGTTAGACCTTGCTTATTCATTTATATTCCGGATTTGCCACTTTCAGGCTTATGTACTGTCTGAATTACTCTTCTATCACTCAGGTTCACCGCCTCTCTTCTTTGTACCTTTAAACTCTTCTTCTTTCACCTGCCTTACCAGTCCTTGTCTGTCTCTCCTTTGGGCTTTGCGTAAGGATACTCCCTATTGAAAGCCACTTCTATTTCTTTATGAAGCATCTTGAAAATGAATTGCATTATAACATGACAGAACTGATCTCTCTGCCCCTCCTTCCTCATTGCAGAAAGCAGAAATCGCTGTGGCCCCCCTGACCATCACTCTGGTCAGAGAGGAAGTAATCGACTTCTCAAAGCCCTTTATGTCTCTGGGAATCTCCATCATGATCAAGAAGCCCCAGAAGTCTAAACCAGGCGTCTTCTCCTTCTTGGACCCACTGGCCTATGAGATCTGGATGTGCATAGTGTTTGCTTACATTGGAGTCAGTGTTGTCCTTTTTTTGGTGAGCGGTTGTTACAAATAGATGTCTGCAATTGAATTGGGCTGCCGGAGTTTCAGAGAAGAGTTGTTTAAAAGTCAGAATCAAACACGAAAGAAAATATCTCTTAGTATTTAAGATGTTAAGAAGTCAGTTTGGTTGGCTTAGGTGGAGAGGATGAGTCTTTTTTTCCTTAATTATCTTTGTAAGACAACTCTCTGAAATGTAAAGCCTCTGTTTCTGAAATGTCTTATGTTAAAAAACGATCCTCTCTGGAAAGAAATGTCCATGGGTCCAACTTAAGCTTGATCGAAGTGATTCAACCAGACCGAGAGAGAGCTTATTCCTGTGTTTGAAGAATCTTCATTATGTCAACTGTTTGTAATAATGTCCCTGCTCTGCTGTGTCTTTGTTGATGGTTGCAGGTTAGCCGCTTCAGTCCATATGAGTGGCACGCAGAGGAACCAGAGGAGGGGGCCACAGAGCAGGGCCCTACTGACCAACCTCCCAATGAGTTTGGCATCTTCAACTCCCTTTGGTTTTCCCTTGGAGCCTTCATGCAGCAGGGCTGTGACATCTCACCACGGTGAGCATTCGTGTAAACCTGTGCGTCAGAATGGTAGAGTAAGAAAAGACAATATTAGACATCAGTGCAGGAGCGGGTTTGTGGCTGTCCGTTTGTTTAAGTGCTGTAGTAAAAGCCTGTGCGGATGTACAGTGTTAGCAGTGAATCACCTCTCCTGGCACTTTCACCGTACACTGAACCGCTCCGATATTCCAAAACACTTTGTGGCAGAGAAGATATGCAAGACACCAAACAAATACACAAACATGCTCAAAAAGTGGGAATACCTGTACACCGTCCAGTAGTCGTGTCCATTTGGGTCCATGGCCTGTTGGAAGATTTAGCGGTTTGCTAGGTGGACATGAATTTTTAATGGCCTGAGGAAGAGGGTAAGTCCGGCTGTATTTTTAGAATGTTTATAAGATGGCATTTTATAATTGATAACCTGAGAATGCAGTTTATTAAAATATTCATAGCCAGCGTCCTCAAGACCTTTAGGGAGCCAAATCTGGGGAAAGAAGGAACAGCAGGGAACACCTCACACCACAACAAAGATATGAATGACACACGAGCCATAAGAAGGAATGTTATGTGCAGATATGCTAGAAAAAGCAGTACAACCTAAAACGTGCATCAAAAGAAGCTTGATTTTTCACTTACTATTGTCGTGTTTTTGGAAAATGCCTTTCTTAATTTACCTGCCTGCCTTCTTCCTTTTGATCCAAATAATCGACACTAATAAAAACTTGTGTTACAATTAGTACCATTTTAGTCTTGGTATATCGTAGGACACTGCTGAGTAAACTACACTCCAAAATCCAATGAATGCATGAAAGTTTAAAACTAATTACAAACCTTTTTTTAAATGTATTTATTTATGAATTTATTTATTTATATTTAAGAAGGGCAGATAATTTAGGAGATGTTAGAAAGATTAGAGATTACGGAAGTGTTTCCAGCAACTTCTCATAAGATATTAATGTACTATGGTGAGCATTGTATCATTCCCCAAAAAGCTAAAAGGAAACAGTTTAAGTTTAAATTTTATCATCAATATTATGGTTCATCTTGAAATTTGTTTCTAGATTTTGCTTACAAAATAATGAATTTGATTAAATGTAAATAAGATTATATATTTTTTATTTACCAGCTTCCAATGTGATTTTTATTAACTGGTAAGCAACAATCCTTCTTTGGTAGACAGACTGTGTAGCTGAATATGTTAATCAAATCTCTCTGACTCACTGATTTTTCTTCTGGATGATGTTTATGTCAGCTGTTAGCTGGAATCTCTGATCCCTGTCCATAGCTCTGATATATCAGTCTAACTAAGCTGAGAACTGATAAATCCATTATACTGGAGTACAAGACAGATTTGTGATAGTAACTTTTCTTCTCTATCCCTCAGTTTTTTCACTGTGTTCTTTGATCTCTTTTAGTCTTTAAACCAAACCGTTACTGTCTTCTTAAAAATGACAGGTAGCAGTGTGCACTTTGAAGAGTGGCACACAGGCACACATTGCTACCTACAGAGCCTCAGCATGATCACTCTAATGTTTCAGTCATCATTTGAACATCCAAAAATACTACAGTACAGACATGAAAACAGCTTTATCATGAGCATCGATGTGAGTTGGGTGATTGTAGGCGATCACAAAACATCTCTTTCCTTATCATGAATTTGAATCTTTTGAATAAGATTTTACTCACATAAACATTGTTCAACAAGTTCTTTTTATCCTCTTAAGGAACTTTTTTTGTTTGTCTAAAACTAGTTTTTATGGCAACAATTGGTCAAGTGTTCCCATTGCACGTTCACTGGCATATTCTGGTTTGTGAAAAGAGAAGAAGTTTCTCAACAGACACCTGAACTTTTACCTATTCGACCCTATGTTTTGCTCCTTCATCCATCTCTTGCACATTTCCGACACCTATCGTCTCCCTGGTTCAGCGTGACTGACAGGCCAATTCTATTCTCAACGCGCGTAATGGAAAACCCTCACATCAGCAGCAGGCGCACACACTAACACACACATAAAAACACAGGTCCAACATTCATATACACACACGCTTACTTGCACTTACTTTTTCCTGCACAGACATGCAGAAAATAGCACTCACTGTGCAGATTCACAAAAATCCAGCACACACATGCAGACCTTTCCATCACTCGCAGGTCCTATGCATAAGCTACTGCTGTCAAAGCGATAATGTGATACTAAACATGAAGCCAGTGTTCGTCATATAAATCACCCCACCCTGTCACTTCCAATACAGCACAACTCCTCTATGGGCCAGGATTACCGCAGTCATAAATGACAGATTACATTTTTACAATGAGAAATCTGTCACTTAAATAGTTTTTCATCCTCTCCTTCATTTCTTTTTATCTACTTGCCTTTCCACATAAGGCAGGTTCTTTCTATATCAAATCAAATCAGACGTGGCTTTTTTTTTGTTTAAAAAAGGTCATTCAGTGTATCATGTAAATTAAATATCATATTTAATCCAAAACTATTTTACTTTCATGAGAAGCCATATTGCAACTGGTACAATAGTTACATTTAGTGATATGACCCTTTTCAAGAAACTCACAGATGAAACAAGCACATTTTAATCTTTTGTTGTATAGAGATCAGAGCGGTGGGGATGTGCATCTCCTAATTGGTATATTGACAAATCATAGAGGTATTGACTGCAGAAATAACGCTTCTTAATGAGTACGGACACGTTGAGAGAGGGTGAATACACACAAAAATGTAGCTTGACCAAGGAAACAAAGTGTATGCTCAATCTCAAGTGTATATGTCCCATATAATTTTGCTCATTTCAGAATCCTGATTCAATGTTGGTTTCTGCAGGGTTTATGAATGATAATAAGTAAAAGTAATGAATAAGGTGATGTGTGAAGGCATAGAGGTTCTTTGCATGGTAAAGTATTTTAGGCGTCAACCAAATTTGGCTGTAAAAATGTAGTACAATTTATGTTATTTCTTCTGAAAGATCACAGTTGCACATATTGTCTTCATCTTTAAAATGTGTTTTATGTGACAGAAAATCAACTGAAGAAAAGGATAGGCTTTGAATAGCTTCAGGAAGTTGAAAAGCATTATCTGCGGAGATATTAACTGCTTTTGGTGAGGACTTTGGACTTGCAACTTTGTAAATCTTTGAAATATGCGAACGGCAATCTTAATCTCTTTTCCTATGGGATTAAGTGTATTTGGCAGGAAGTGATGGGAATTTACTTACGTGCCTAAATGGCTTCTCCCTTATCTTTTTCCCCATTCTGTCTTTTAACAATATACTTAGAACCAGAGCTTGAAGCCCATTTTTTTCTGCCTTCAGTGTGCCACTGGCTTAAAATTAAAATTGTGTCAAAAAGGGGTACGGAAAAAACATTAAGAAATAATAGGCCAGGAATTAGTCATTTGATTTATTGATGAAATAAGGGAATAAAACTGCCAACCAGACTTTTTGACATAAATTCATGTGATGGATGAGGCACCGAGACACTGCTCTGTAGAAATTACAGCCTTTTAAAAGGAGACATGTCATGCATATCATAATGTCGTATAATTTTTCTATCACCTCAGGACTTTAATGTTCATGTTCTTTAATCTTCCATTCCCTTGTTCACCTTTTAAAGTTTATTCAGTTTCTTCCATTGCCTGGACACAAAATACAGTAGTCATTTTTATCACATATAAGTTTGAAACTTAAGATAGCGTAATCATTTCTTGAATTCTTATTTATTAATCCTGTGTATGTGTTTACTACTTTATGCACTTTAAATCATTAACCTAAAGTCAGTATGTTTTTTATAGATGTTTTTCATTTTTAAATGGATTTCCCATGTAGTTAATCATACTGCAGCACATCATCATTTCTTTCTTATTCCACATACATCTGCCGTGATCATTGGATGCTTAATCTGTGTTGATACTCCTCCCCATTTTCCTGCCACATGGATCAACTTCAGTCTCTGATTGTTGAGGTCGTCATTTTCTGTAGCGTGAGAGTGAAATCAAAGGAAGGAAGCATTCTCAACTGAAAGATAATTTTTCAAGACGGTTAAATAGATCTCTGTCTTGCTTCTTTTTGATATGGACTTCTTTCTATATCACGTTATTTCCTAACCTTAGAAACCTTCAGACAATCAAATGTTTTTGTGGTAGTTATTTGACTATATGCCCAGTGTGCATGTATGTTAGCGACCATGTGTGTATTGGGCTGTTATAGCAGGCCCATTGGTATTCAGAGTGGGTCCCTCCCTCGGTGCTGCAGTCATCTCTGCAGTCTAGAAGACACAGTATAACGCATACGCTCATTCACTCTCTCACTTTCTGTCTGTCTGTCTTTCTGTCCATATATCTATAGGTTATGTGCAGTGGTATGTCTAATTGCAAAGGACTGCAATCACTACTTTCCCATTATCTTAGTTTTTTTCTTGCAGTCACACCACCTTGTGCACCCTGCACCTTTCCGTTCAAGAACGACGTAATGGCTGGCACCACACGCATGCATATTTACCCTCACACACATTGTCAGATTGACCTTGGTAAGGCATTTATGCCGCCCCCCTGTCATCTTTCAGCCGACAAGCTTTTGGATACCTAATGTTGGTGATTGGCCTGGTCACAACAAAGTATGACAGCAAAGTGATGGACAGCCCGGTGAAGACACAGACTAAAAAGCACAATATAAATTCATAGATGCGGGAAAAACATTGCAGGACAGAGTGCAGGATAAGGAGAGGGTGGTAAAGTGATCACCAGTGAACATCTCATGGGGATAGGGATGTCTCTGTCAATATATCTAGAATTACAGCTTTCTGCTCTCGTGTGTGTGCTTGTGCTGCATCCAGATTGCACTTGTGGACTTCTGGAGCACACATGTTTGTTAGTATCATGTGAAAGTATTGAGTAAATGGCCGTGGGCGTGCTGAATAGTTAATGTTAGCAACAGATCCATCTAATGGTGTGACTAACTAGCTGCAGTGGGGTGCTGAGGCATTCCGAGTAATTAATGATTAGTCTCAAGGTCAGTGACGAGAAGCCAGACATGCTGATTGACTGAGGGTGCTCCAGAGCTATCTTTTTTTTTAAAATCTTTTAAGTCTTTTGCCGTGTCCGATCCTTGAATTTCTTTCTTGTATTTCACCTGCTGCACCGTATCTTTAATCTATAAACCAGATCGTTTTCAAGTGAGTCTGTGTCCCTTCTTTTCTTCAGTTCTTTTCCATTCATTTAGAAAGATTTCCACCTGTTTGAATCAATTTATTGAGTGTGGTGAAAAATTGCACCTTTAATACTTGCAAGAAATTTTTTAAAAGACAAATTAAGAAATAGCTGGAATGTTGAAAGGATTTTGTATTTTTTTTAGTTGCTCCGCAACTGTGACCCAATCAAATTTTTGTTTTGCTTTTTCCAAATCGTAAACCACACCACCAGCTGGTAGATTTAATAACTGTTAACATGTCTGGCACCATTAGTCGATGAAACGTCTTCGTTTCATCCCCCAACTAAAGAGTGTAACAAATTTAATGCATTACTATTGCTGCTGAGTAACACAGGTAATTGAGCTAAAACTAATCTTCCATTATTCCTTAAAAAAAGAAAACAAGGGCACTCATACAGATGCACACACAACCCAAAATTGCTGTCACTGCAGTCAGGAAAGAAAATCCAGCTACATTAAATGAAAATAAACTGTACTGCCTAAAGCAGTGTGTGTGTGTGAAAAAATATTAAAAAAGAGGTACAATATATCATTAATCTTTCACACAGAGGACTGTGGAGGCAATCTGTAGGCTATCATAGATGATACATGACCTGCTATGGAATGATTCGCCTGTTGCATACCAAGGCACACTACAGAGCAACAAACACAGGCAGCAAATTCCACACAAGCACTTCTGACGTGAGGAACAAAATGCCATAGAGAGATCATCTATCTACACCGAAATGTTCTGCGAAGTGCAAGTGCTTGCACCAACAAATCCTCCAATTAAAATTACTAAATATGTGATTTGCTAGATACTTAAATGTGAGCGATTGTTTTGTCCACCATAGGTGCAAAGAGCAGGAAATAATAAATATAGTACACAGTAAACTAGATATCCACAGAGCAAAAAGTGAAGGAGAGTTTAACTCTCCCTCATGAAAGTCTTTTGTATCTCACTAGGTGAGGATCATTTTTTGTCTTTTAAAAACTGGTAAATCAAGACTTTGCTGATATTTTCACAAAAGGCTGTAAGATTATACAGTCAAATATTTATGTGTCCTCACAGACAAAAAAAGTTGCCTGATTAAAAAGTAAAAACTGAATAATATACTGCATCGATTTTGTGACAGTTTCATGCTCTAGGTCTGTGTTCTGTTACCTGGGCAGCAGAAAATTAGCGAACCGTTTCCCGTTTAATCTGTTGTCATTTATTTTATAAGTCTGTTAAGGATGGCACTTTGGAGATGAAGGGCCCCTAATAATTTCTAAACATAACTCAGGCCCGCACCATATAAAATCAGTGCGCAGCTTGACTGTGATGTATAGCTCCTCTTAATATTCCATCTGAAGATTTGTAGTTTTTCATTTAAGATGGAGCTATAAAGAATAGTAGATACAGTCTTACTTAACTGCATAGACTAGGAATGGATCACCCCATGATTGTCGCACATGGAACAAAAGTCGGAGAATAAACCTTTTATCAAATTACAGGGTAGATTCTCCCATCAGTTACAGATGACACTGATGATTCTTCACTGCATTGCAAAATTTCGTCTTTTTTGTTGAGGATGGACTGTTTATAACCCTTCACTTTCTGTTGGATGTCTACTCAAATCATAGAATCACTTCATCGTGCCCCATGAAAATATAGTAATGGCTTTTCAGCAAGCCTGTCAGATCATTTAACTCTATGGGGGACCCTCTGGAACTTATGAAATTAGTTTCTGATTAGCTTCTTTACTGAGCTAGATGTCAAACATTAGAAAGTAGATTCAGTGTTGGGATTGATGTACCTCTATACTACAGCATTCACTATCGTTATCATCAACCGTAACAATGTTTGGCCAGGAGCTTCTGAAATCTATATCTCATGGAAGGACAATTTTTCTATTGATTCGAAGGGGAGCGTTTTCTGTTTACGTCTATCCTTACCAATTCATCTGAAAGTTTCGGTTATCTGCTAATAAGTCTAAAACAAAAACTAACAACTTTTTCTCAAGAGAAACACCCCAATAGATCAATGCCTCAAGGACAAATACAATAAATTAGTACCTATGTTTGTATGTGTGTGCTTGTTTGTGTGTGTGTGTGTGCAAGTTGAAGAGGTAGAGAGCTAGAGGGAGGATTAAAAGCTGTGCTGAGCCCTGAACAACAGCAGAATGTGAAGTTGCTCAAAAAGGTGACTGTTTATGCAGAGTCAGGTGTCAACGCACCTTCCAGATCTCTTGCTCCGCTTTTGTCTATTCAGCACACACTCCTAAAAACTAAAAGTGCTCGTAAGGTAACTCAAAGATCCCTGCTTTCACGTCTGACAGGGGATCTTGCCAATTGACTATCTGGCCTCTAGATAGTTTTGGTATGCTAATATTACTTATAATTGAATATGATTATCTTAATTCTTATGAAGTGGCTATTATTGATGTCTATATAGGGGCAATAACTGAAGTGATTATGTCAGATGTAAAAGGAGCCAATTCTTCAACCCAAATTCACTTTTCACCTAATTAATCTGGTGGTTTAATCAGTGCTTTGGTTTTTTGGCTGAATTTCTGGACTAATTTTGTTCATTCTTGGTTCTACCATTGTTTCACACAGCGATTTCAGCCTTAAGCTCTGTGAAGGATAATACACTATGCATAAGGCCATCAAACCTACAAATCGTCAATCACCCAAGCTACTTTCTTTAGAAAGATGCCCGGACATTAAATGTTGGGCATACATTTGCTTTCTTTGAAGGCTCAGCTCTACATTTGTGCTCTTTATTCATGGATTTCACTTTTAGAAATACAGAAACCTGTTTATACATAAAAATAAGGAACTTGATTTGCCTCAACTATGTAAAACTCAATGTCATGCTAATAATGTGTTAGAAATGCACATTTGCTTAAATCGTTGGGTGGCAAATGTTACATTTCACCATTTCAGTCTTAGGTGCACGGTTACCTAACACATCATCACAGATCAAGATCTGTGGTGATGATCTCAGGTCTTATTCCACTGAATCATGTCGTAGAATTATAATAACTCAAAGTGAATTAAATATACAATGGTGCATGGATTTCATGCCATGATCACAGGCGCATTAAATCTATGAGGGACATAGCTGGTGAGTCTTTAAACTTGATGGTTAATGAGCCACTGTTTTGCCTCGGTGTTCCAGCCATCTGTGTGGAATTACCTCAGCATATGACTTACTTAAACATTCCCTTTGAAAGCAAGAGCTCTTTTGCATTTTTGTTCTTTCAAGAACAATGATGTACGGCATGCTGTGTGTCTCAACCCACATCTGCCTCACTGTCTTTCACACTCAGCCCTCACAGTGGACATTGCATGTCTTTTTTAGTAGTTTAGTGGTTGCAGCCCATAAAAGAAAATATATAATTTGCCACCCTACTGTACCTTTTTTCTCCAAAGACACATTCTCATTTGGGTTTTTGTTTTCACAAAGGTGAGGAATAGACACACACCTAAATACACGCCCCCCAAAAAGGAAGCAAGAATTGCCACTTACCTTTATGCTCCAGCTTACAATCGGTCGATAAAGACGGTAAACATGGAAATAAGAGAAAGACGGAAGGGCGCCCAGATTGCAATCTGTTTCATGTAGCCTCAGTTATTGTTACCGCTGAATTGGTTTGGAAGCCAAAGAAAATTACTTTGGCAGCTCTGTCAGTATTACAGCCATGCCCACAGTGATGTTAAAATGCTTTGTGAAATAGTGATTTGTGTTGCATATCCTTGACTGTGGAACTCTCAATTGTTAATTCTTTCACTGTTATTTTCAAACATTCATCTATCAGCTTTTTTTTTGCCATCCCTTCCCTCTGCTACTTGTTCATATATGGTAACTCTTCCTTGATTTATTAACGTTAATCTTGCCATTGCCTGGTTTTCTCTTAAATTGTCACTGCTTTCTTCCTCTCATCTCTCTTTAGGTCCCTGTCTGGACGCATTGTTGGAGGTGTGTGGTGGTTCTTCACTCTCATCATCATCTCCTCCTACACAGCCAACCTGGCTGCATTCCTCACGGTGGAGAGGATGGTCTCACCTATAGAGAGCGCAGAGGACTTGGCCAAGCAGACAGAGATAGCCTATGGTACGCTGGACTCTGGCTCTACAAAGGAGTTCTTCAGGGTATGGACATGTCTTGCTAATTTACTTTGCTGAGAGGTTTCTGGCTCTGACTGTTTTTACACTTGAAAATGTGCTTCTGAGTTCAGTCTGAAGAAAGTCATGCAAGATCCCCATTTCAATCCCATTAGTTTCATGTTTAATTCTCGGACTGAATCAAAAGAAAAAAAGGTCCATTGAGACACCAGCTTAATTTAAAAAATGGTCAAGTTTTCAGCTCAAAAAGAAGGCAACTAAGGGATGTTTTGAGCTCTGGACTTACGCCTGGCAAAGGCCAAGCAGCAAAACTCTTTTCTAAATACATATGGGACTGGGAGGAGTGACTGAAATACTGTAATATTTAAAAAATAGAATGACAGGACGACAGGGACGAAGGACTAGCCCATGTATTTTGAACTGAAAATAACTTCAGTTTAAGAAGTGCCACAACGCTGAAAAGGCAATCTTTCTCTGTGCATGTTATTTCTTTCTAAGATTTTAGGCCATTCTCCATATTAGATATTTGACTTTGAACTATTTTCAATCTCCTATAAAGACTGCAGCTGAATACTGTTTAACATAGAACCTTTACATTTAATTAATATTTATGTAAAGACGTTTATTGCTAATAATCATAATAGTAAATCTTACATACCACTAAATTAAAGCTGGATTCCAATGAGAGAAGATGGGCACTGGGGTGTCACAAAATATTCCACAGAGAGCTGTTACACTTCAGTCAGAGGCATGAAACTATAATATAGTGAAGAGAAGCACACTAAAGGATAAAGCAGTAACTTCAGCACTTGGCCTTTTCACCTACATACACTGCAGTTCCCTAAATAATGCTAAAACACACCTACACGATGCAGATGATTACATTTTTTATTTTACTTTTTGCAGATATGAGCACAAACCCATCCATTACTTGTTTTTATTTGAGTCTGGGGACATTGGGGGTGGGTGGATGTCTGTCAAAAGACGATTGGGGGGCTAGTATGATTCTCTGAGTAGCTCTTGCATCATCAACATAACGAGCACTCTGAATCTGTGGAGGGTGAAAAAGCAATTTATTCTCCTACAGCTGAGGGGGATTCACCACCACCAAAATTATCTTTGTGTGTGTGTGTTTATGTCAGCATGTGTTTGTTTATGTATATGCAAACATGAATGTATGAAGATTCAGCTTGATGGTTCATAAGTATTTTATATGTCTATGGAAATATGAGTCCACCAGGACATGTACGTGTATCTTTGTTCAAGTGTGCGTATGCCTGAAGGTGACGCCCATTTCCTTCACAGCTACACTAATTTCCAAAGAATCTGGAAAGAGTCACATCTCATTGTCACACATCCATCCTTGTTAGGCTAGACACTGTTTGTACGTGCACAGAAACATCAGCATATCTGTCCCTTACTGTCTTGATCTCTCTCGGAGATGGATGGGGAGGATTCAAATCTATGATAGACTTCGGTACTCAGAATAAATAATAAAGGGAAATAATGGAGAGTGAGTAAGGACGAGATGAGGAGAGGCGGGGCAAACTGGTCCCCTTGAATTTGAGTGTCATTGTAATGGGATAGGTGTCTGTCACACACCATCAGCACCCTGACACACACGCACAGAGACACACGCTCACCGCCCCCCGGGGGCTGATTTCAGCTCCTGAGGCCCTGGCTTGTCGCTCGTAGAACGACAGAATAGCACTTTAATACCAGGAGAGAAAGAGAAAAAATGGGACGATGTGGAGGATGACAGTTTGACTCCTCTGCTTGTTATTTTCACTCATGAGCACACATAGTGCACAGACACGCACACATACACGTATATGCATGTTTCAACGGGTGCAGGGAACAATGACTATAAACATAGATGCAGAGCTTAGATAGTCTAACACAATTTATTTCACAAAGCTGGACAGTCCTTTGAACAGCTTTGCAGAATTCCAACTACATGACCAATTAGCATTTCACTGTTCCAGCCATAAACTCATTTGAAGTAAGACTGATGCTTGACTTGTCAAGGGAGACATAGTGTTACATTCTAAATGTGGTTATAAATGTCAGTATATGCCAGAGGATCAAAATGGAAGATGGAGGGCTCTCCACCAGCTGCCTATTATATTCAAGGAAATAACCTCAGCAGTTTGCCGCACATCATAAGAAAATTTTGCATGTGCTAAAGCATTCTAAGAGGCAGACTTTTAAAGATTTGTAGCTGTAACGATGACAAATGTAATTTGTCTGAAAAGCTAGAATTTTTGGGGCCGCAAAACATTTTTGAGTTAAAGTATAATATAAGAAGAAATTGACCCAAACATGGCACCACTACTTTTGGGCCACATAAAGTACCTTCTATTGCAGTCTGGCCGACAAAAGAATTCCCTCTTATTACTTGTCAATCTTTGCTCTCACCTCTCTTCCATCCCAGAGGTCCAAGATAGCCGTATATGAGAAGATGTGGTCTTATATGAAGTCTGCTGAGCCAACTGTCTTCACCAAAACTACGGCAGAGGGTGTAGCCAGAGTCCGCAAGTCCAAGGGGAAGTACGCCTTCCTCTTGGAGTCCACCATGAATGAATACACGGAGCAACGCAAGCCTTGTGATACGATGAAAGTGGGAGGGAACCTGGACTCCAAAGGATATGGCATTGCTACACCGAAAGGCTCACAGTTAAGGTGGGTGGAATAGTGTAACAATAGGAAACAGTAGCGCTGCTGATACTGTACTATTGCTGCGATATTCCACCTACCCTGCTGTGCCTTTTATCTCTACTCTCAGGTCAACCTGTCGCTGCTGGCTCGTGATCTCTCTGAACCGCAAAGATTTAAGACGTTGCGTAGAAATGGATCTCTTATTTATCTAGTGTGGATGGACACCAAAAGCTGTAGGACTAAAAAAAAATTGAGATACGTGTTTTGGAGCATTTTGTTCACCTGGCAGCAGCGACAGATAAATGTGTTGAATGCCCAAATTGCGTGTGTCATCATGCTTCATCATCTGCCTTGATTTTTGTCGTTTCCTTGCCTTCTTTTAAATGTATTTAACTGTGTTTATTTGCTGCACTTTTTCTGTCTCTCTCTTTTGCAGTCTTCCCATTCATTTGTAGCAAATCGTTTATTTTCTCTGCGTCACTGCCATCCATTCACCTCTTCATGCTTGAATACCTTTTTTCTGCTCTGTTCCTGTCTGTGTCAACCACTCTTTCTCTCCACAGAACCATCTTCCAGGTAACTCTGTTCATTTGTCCAGTCTCTCATCCTCTTGGTCATTGATGATGATGATGATGATTATGATGATGATGATCGTTCTGATAATGAACTAATTGATAAATTATTGCCACGAGGGGCGGCAGAAGCTCAGACTGCTTCCTCATCCTCCGAGCCGCAAGCGGGGGGAATATATAGACAATCAGGAATCAAAAAGTGAAACAGGAAGTTGAGGGGCATGTTAATGGGGGACAACAAAGTAAAAGTAATGTGTAATGTCACATAAAAGACACAAACAAAATATGAAAGGTTTCATTTTGAAAGTTCTTGATGAAAATAAATTGCTAGGCAATTGAAGAATGTCAAATTAAAAACCTAAACAGTGTGTTTAAATCTAAACTCTAAAGAGCATAAGATAGAGGAAATGAATGAGAAAGTGACCTGAAGCTGATCCTGTTGTTTTGTTTTTCCTTCAGTAGATACTTGTTCCTTTGGCCTATTTCTCTAGGTAAGAGGGACAGCTGTACAAATACTCTCCCTGTCAATATAACAAGTGTCTTCTGAAGGAAAGTAAATGAAAAAAATTGACAAAGTTCAGCTCAGTCAGACCACCAGCTCTTTCTTCTCTTCCTCCATCTATCTCTGTCCACTTTTCCAATTTGCTTTATTAAAACACACACAGTGCATCAGCCTTGCATCCTGTCCTATATTTCCCCCTGTGTATGGTACAAAGGTCCTCAAGTCAGTCCCCCTGTCAACCAACTCTTATGAACAAAACAGAGCTTGAGAAGAGGGTTTCCGTTTAGAAGGGAAAAGTGACAGACAGCAAGTGGATAGGTTCCATTTAAGCCCCTTTGAAACACATTCTCTGGACTATCCATGGTTGTCTCCTGCTTCTCTCAGTCGTCGGAAACGCAGTCGTACATTCACATACGTGTGTCTGCGAGTCTGCACATCAGGTGTGCCTGCCGCTCCTCCTGGTGTACTTGTCACTGCCCAATTTGACTTAATGGTGTTCAGGAGAATGCATAGTCTGCTCTTTCAAATGATTTTGACATTATAAAATGTTTTCTTAAGTATAGCTACATTTATATGATTATTGAAAATGCACTGTTGTTATGAATATTATTTATGTTTGTTTTCATCCACACTTCATGAGATGAGCCTTTTGATAACATATACCCAGAGAAAACTTTCTCTCTCTGCATCTTTTGACTAGAAACCTATCATGATATTTATGTTCAAATGCCATATTTATTACATAGACATGGTATTTTCTCTTCCATCATGCTGAGCTGACAACCTTCCTTTTCTAAGATAGAGCCTATATACACTCTACCATCAGACACTAGAGACATAAAACTCTGTTACAAGTGTTTTTTTAATGATACCAACTATTTGATGCTTAATTCAGCCTTTGCAAACACATTGCAGGATATTGCAAAGGACTAAATATTTTGCCCTGTGTTCCTAGACTTCATTTAGAGCTCTACTCGCTGTAAGTAAGAAGGCTGCGAAAAACTGGAACCAAGCAACCACAAGCACAGGCAGCACACATCTTTACAGACGGGTAGGAAAGACGGAGAGCATGAGGGCACAAGTGTGCATGAGGGCAGTTACGGTTAAGCATCCTCTGTCAGCGCAGGCAAACCCAGAAAAACAAGAGACACATAACACAAAAAATAACGGTAAAAAAATGTCAAACAATTCAAAGTACTTACTTTGACTGTCAAAAGAAACAGTGAGAGAGAGTTGTTTTGGGTACATTTCTCCCCTCTAAGTCATCTGTATGCCTTCACCCCCTTTTTGATTTACCCCTTCTCGGCTTTCTGTCCTTCCCTTTTTCTTTCCCCTCCCGGCTGTGGTTCCTGTCCATCTTGTCTGTTTGTCCCTCCATCCTCTGCTCTGACCAAACTATCTTATCTGTTCCTCCTTTTTTACTTTAAGAAATGCGGTCAACCTGGCCGTGCTAAAACTCAACGAGCAGGGCCTGTTGGACAAATTGAAAAACAAGTGGTGGTATGACAAAGGAGAATGTGGCAGCGGGGGAGGGGATTCCAAGGTTAGCCCGCTCTGTCTGCCCCCCCACCACTGGGTGACGGCGCCGCTCACTAGCTGACAAGCTAGCGACGGCCCCGTCCTGGGATTGTGTAACACATGCATCTGCCCCAGCAAAAAGTTAAGCGCAGTGTACAGAGAAGGCAAAAAATGCCCAGAGATATGGCACAGCTTTAGAAATGGGTGCAATGTTGCATCTTTATCAGTGGCATATACCGTTTTACATGAAGGGTTCACAGCACTGACGGAGCTATTCGACTTAAAACAGTTTTTGAGAGAATCAATTGGTTGCTCTTGATAGCTGAAAAAGTCAATTTATCAAATGAATTTTTCGTAATTGTCCGAATTGTCCGTAATCAGCAGGGAAATATACCTCATTATGAAAACCATTTTAAATATGCTTGGCACTAATCTGGTTACGGTCCTTTGAGAAGACAAGGAGGGAAGGTAATGAGAGAATATTTAGGAGATGCATATCAGTGGAAGGAAAGAGAGCAAATACTGTGAAGGCAGGAATATTTGCCCCCTGGTGGCAACTCTGGGAAGAGTTGAACCTCTGTTTCTCCTTCAACTGTAGAGCTGTTGCCTGTAACAGATATCGCAGGTTTCTAGATATCTGATGGAAAAAATACATCTATGTGAAACTGTAGACCTGGAATTCTTTCGAGGCTCAGGTTGACTACAAGCAGATGGAAGGATGAATAATTAATATACGCTCTTGCATCTCTTTCATTCGACATGATTATTTCAGAGTTGTAATTTGATCCAGTTTCTCTTTGAAATGTAGATGTTTGTAAACTGATAGATAATGAAACAGCATCATTAAGCTAATGGTAAAATGTAAGATAAGATACAGTCCTATAACCTCACCAATGTTACCAGCGTCATCAATATGTTTAGCAGTGATTGCATGAAAATATTTATGCCATTTGGAGAAAAGAAAAGAAAGGTTTTCATAGTTTAAAAAGGCTTTTAAGATGCTATTTATTTTCTAAGGGCTGTATCTCAGCACTGTCACTTTTACTGGAGTCTGGGTAAACCAAGACCCAGGCATAGAGAACATCACAATCTGTAATCAAATGCCCAGGCAAATAATCCTCTTTTACAATACAAAATGCCACACAAGTTTATGTTCTTAAAGAAGTGTGAGTTAAGTCCAGCTTCCTCAACTCGGCTTTAAAGCCAGTTCCACAAGCTGTGAACTCAGTGCCCTCAAATTCTGGCCTTTGTGTGACCTACGTTAATACAATTACTCACAGAGATATAATACTTATATCAGTATTCAAAAACCTATCACCAGTTCTTTAGTGAGTACTGGAGCACACTCCCCTGTGGTAAGTGAAGTGGCACATTGTTGAATATTGTTAAAGCTATGCTGAAAATATCCCATTATTCTCCTATTTATTATTCATTTTTCAATCACACCTTTTAGATGATATACTATAAAAAGCATCTTCACGTTTTGCTCTGGTTCTCCCTGCTTTTTTTGGTTCACCAATTAGCTATAGATATCTAGCAATGCCAGCCAACTATGGACCTTGTAATCTTAAAACCGTTAGCTTACTTTCTTGCTTCAACATCAAAAGAGCAACTTCTTTGCTCTTAAAAATGCCACGAAAGTGAAAGCAGTACGGTCACAGGTAGCTCTCTCATGCTGCTGAAATTCACCATCCTATCATCATATTTGTTTACACTAATCTCACAACTGTAGAAACTTGATGTTAGAGTTCTGCTTTAAATGTTGCAGCCGATAGGAATGGCACTACTTATGTTTTTATTTCCCATTCAAAAAATTAGGTACAGCTTCCTATGCTACGTGATCATGAATAAATCACTGACACTGTTGCTCAGCATTTTGAATTTAAGAACTTCAAAATACAGCTGGGAATAAATGAAACACAAAGCATAGGCTTTACTAAATCCACAGCACAGGAAAACCAACGCTAAAATGTTAAACTAATAGAGCTTAATGAGACAAACATCACACCTACTAATGTCAGGTTTTACATAAAACCCTGCCAAAGTACCGTTCCAATCAACAAAAACTTTTGTGTAAAACACCCACAATGATTCTTGCACATAATCTGCCACAGTCAAAAGGTCTGTATCTTCACAATATTCATTTAAATTCATTCAACTTTGTGGTTTTACCGTATTTGTGCAATGTACAGTCAAATGTTAAGTGTTTAGGATGAAACAGTGTATGTCAACACAGTTGCGTTAAGCATCTTTTATAAATGCAAACAGGTACTCTTCCCTAGCCAAAAAAAAGTGACCTAAAATTATTCAACTGAGCAAGTTTCACCCAAATTCTCTCTAAACTTTACTCTTATGGCACTTAAGTGCCACTTTAGAACTTTGTATGGAGTTGGTCTAACGGGCACCGAGGGTTTCATTTTCCAGAACAATAAGAATAAACATTTCAAGACACCAAACCCAAATGGTCAGATTGCCTTGACTTCTTAAGACCTCAGCTTTACCTTTTTTTAAACCTGCCTGATGCAGTACAGAGTTTGCCTGATGCAAATAGTTCTGGCTTAACAGTATTCCTCGATACTTTGTTGTAGGATCAGCTGGGGCAGTATGGGTGTGTTACTTTAAGTGACAAAGGTGGGTCCCACTCATATGTCTGTAGCTCGCCTTAGCTCCTCGCTCCCCCCAGCCCCTCCTGAACGAGCATACACACATGTACTCAGTGGGATCCATGCTAGGTCACTTGATGTGAACAAAAGTTTTTTGTGTGACTGAGCTGTTCAATGCAAATGTGAAATACCGTAATAACATAAAATAACATGACCTATGATGTTATTTATGTTATTTTTACACGCGAAGAACCCCAGTAAACCTTGCAGTTTTGAAACTGAGCGAAGCAGGCGTCTTAGACAAACTGAAAAACAAATGGTGGTATGACAAGGGAGAGTGTGGACCCAAGGACTCTGGAAGTAAGGTCAGTCTCACGCTGCTGCGGCCTGCTGAACCCTTGCCTAAAAATTTCAGTCTACTGCCTTAGAAATAGTTTACCAATTTCTCACTTAGTCTGAAACATGATTTAACATGATTTACATTTGTCGGTATATACAGATGTCCTGCACTTTTGAAAATGTTCTATCCAGTATCTTTCCATAAGGTTCTGGTTAATCACACATCAGAATTAAACTAAATTTATGTATCTGAATATAGGAAAACCCTCACCTTCATAATTATGTAATGCGACATCCCAGCACATGATAATCCTTACAGTAAATTACTGGCTTCCATTGTTTTTTTTATATTCAACCAGATTAGAGAAATGTGTTATTTACTCTCTTTTGAATGCTTTTGATAAATCTTGTTTTTACAAATTGAAAATAAGCTTAATGCTTTTATATATTCCTGCCTAGAACCCTTTAAAAAAGAAAAAAAACATGGTGTGCAGTGTTACACTAGCTGTCTGTTCCTGTGTCATTTGGTTGAATATATCATGTGAACAGTGGATGGCAGCTCAGAATGTAATATATTAAGCTTGTGAAAGTTTTAACAAAAAGGTGAACCTTTAAAAGCTTGAAGTAGGAGTGATCATTTTGGCTTAAGTAAACAGATCATAAATGACAAAATCTCTCAGGATGAAATATCAATGATTTATGTTTTTGTCTTTCAAAAAACAAACAAATGATATAGAAGTGGCACAATGGACCAATGAGATAAAACATAAAGCGTGTTTTTTGTAAGCAAAACTGCTGAGATGTTCAATGAGATGAGCAGTTCAATTATACTTTTTCATCCTCAGATAAAATACATAAATTACTGTTTTTTTATATCAATAAAGATAATGTTTTATGATACGTAGAAAACATAGTACGTTTACATTTTTAGTGTAGCAAAGTTTGCTTTTATATTTGATCAGCATAATGGAAAAATGTGTTCACTGCTCTGCACTTTATTTACAGGTGATTCAAACACAAATTTGCACTCTAGACATGTAAAAAAAAAGCTAAGTGACTGTGCTGATTGTGACAAATGTGTAGTTTGTGTGTTGTAGCTGTTGTTGTAGAGGTAGTGATAATAGTTTATAGATCATTTGAGCTGGTAGAAGTAAAATGTAATAATAGAAATAGAGGATTGCTGCTAGAATGCTTTTTGATATTTTATCTATCTCCATTTCTCCATCTGAATTATTGAACTTTATTGTCTCTGCTTTTTCCTATACCCTGTTCCCATTTATCGCCATTTCCTTTCTTGACATTCTCTCTACCTTCGTATAACGTCCATCCTCATCCTTCTCCATTTCAATATTCCATATACTTTTTCCCACGATCTCTGCTGATCACCCAACATTTTCCTCTCCAATTTCTTCTCCTATCTCTTTTCACACTGCCAACACTTGGTCTCGACTCTTCCCCCCCCCCCCCTCTCCCTCCCACCCCTGTCTTCAGGACAAGTCGTCCCAGGCCCTGAGCCTGTCCAACGTGGCTGGGGTCTTCTACATCCTTGTGGGCGGCCTGGGCCTGGCCATGCTAGTGGCCTTGGTCGAGTTCTGCTACAAGTCACGAGCTGAAGCCAAGCGCATGAAGGTGGACCTTAGCCCCCCCCACTGCCCCAGCCCCTCCCCCAGCACCCAGAATCTAGCCACTTATAGGGAGGGGTACAACGTGTACGGCTCCGAGGGGGTCAAGATATAGGGGTAGGATTTAGAGGCTGCCACGTAGGTGGGCTAATGGTGGTGTTGATCATGGTGGTGGTGCTCTAGAGTTTGCATTGTTGAGGCTGCAGCAGCCACTCGTTCTTTTTGTGGTGATGACAATGTGGTCAAGCATTGTGGAACCAATGTAGCTTTTAACGTTTTGGCTGTTTAGTTTCTTTATTGGCCGATTATTTTTTATAGTTTTTTTTGTTTTTGTTTTTTATTTGCTTTAAATTTGATTTGTGTTTTATTTACTGAGGTTAGATTTGTGTGACTACAGATTTGGTTCCATCGTCTTTGGCTGCTGATGATGTTGATGTTGATGATGACGGTGATGTTCTTGGCTAATGATTTGATGAGACACCTGCATTGTAATTATAGTCGCCTGCTAAAAAACACATTGATGACACAGGGGTGTGTGGCTCCAGTGATGCATTCATTTCATATTTATTTTGTCTAAAGTTTATATTTCTTTTTATTTTGTGGAAATTATGCACTGCAGACATATAGTTTATTTTCTTACAAAAAATGTCTTATTATTCATTATTAAGATGTTTTGGATGTTTGTGGACCGTCAGCTTTTATAACTATAACTATAACTATAACTCTCAGCAGTCCCTTGGGTATTGCTGCAACACTAGAAAAACACACAAGCCTCGCTCTCTTTTCTTTGGATGTAAAGCCAATTTACTCAGGCTCCATTCTAACTAATGTAAGGCTTGTCTTCTAACAGCTTGAGCTAACCTTCTTTTGCACAGTATTACTTTGAAATACTGATTTTAACTTGATTTTATGCATAAAACACATTAACCAAAATTTGATTTTATTTATTTTCCTTTAGTTTAATCTGAAACTATTGGCCATTATCAACTAAACCGGCTCTTATTGTACTGTAATCTGAACAGTGATATTTACGTTTGACTAAGCAAATTAGGTCTTAAGCCTCAAATGTATTCCACTGTATAATTTTTACAGAATGTAACAACTGTAATTTTAGATTATAAATACACACATATATATAGTATATTGTAATTATTTCATGGGATTCCAATGTGCTGGGTCTCAATCAGGATATAAAAGCAATCTGTGCAAAACTACCAGAGAAATCACAGAGATGATTTATTACGTTGTGAATGATCTTTCGTGACCCTTGTGCCCAGTAGGCAGCACTGTTTTTCATCCATACACCACACCTTTAATATGTCATCCATAAACTGGAGTTGCGCACCCCTGCTGCAGACAGTTTGAATTATTCCAGCCCTGACAATTATTCCAGCCCTGACAACTTCAAAACAGCCCACTCACTTACTCAACATTAATTCAAAAGAATAACTGATGAAGCAAACACTTCATATTGAATGGCTACTCAAGGATGTTGCTCAAATATGATCTGCATTTTTTTTATTCTAAGGAGAAATTAATTTAAGTGAAAGGACACATAAGATTTTAGTCATCCGGAAGTAACTGGAAGGAGAGAAAAAAGATGCAAATGCTAAAGGCTTTACATTTAATTCAGTTTGAGTTTAAGCATGATAAACCAAATAGTGGAAAACAGGCTTCTCTGGGTATCCTTCAAAGACAGTTCTTTTAAAAGCAGAAGTAGTAGAGAAAGTCAGTTTATCTTTCATAATTAACAGATAATATGATAGAGTTGCTATACCTTGAAGACCACTGATTCTTTTCTAAGACCCAATTAAAGCACTTATTACACTCTCTGGATTTCTTAAATGTTCTCCAGCATGCACACGTTTGTCACTTTGAAAATCCAACCTCATTGCTGTTGGATACATTGGGTTTAAATCCTGAAAGTCACAGGAACTAAAACATCAGAGTAGACGGTTCATGTGAAGTGTCACCTGACTCTGAGCGGTATAGTCAGTATCTCCCTCTCTATAAATCTGAAACCTTAAAACATTCTCCTTCACGTTCTCCTTTTGTCTCTGCAAATTCCTCACTGATTTTTGTCACAAATTTTCACCTTCCCAATTCTATCCTTTCCACACCTGAATCTGTAAGGCTACTGAAACCCAGATCCCCAAAATGCATGGTATCCCCAAATGCAGACGTCTACTCCCAAAATGTGTCTACTATGTACATGTTTGTTGATTGTTGCCTGCTTTGTCTTTGGTTAGAATTTCTAAATGCTCAATGTGGTAGTTGTATACATGAACGTGTAGTTTAGGGGGGCATTCACACCTTCTTTGTTTCCAGTTTTGTTTTATTTTATTTTTATTAACTTTCAACCGCTGACTTTATCAGCAGGTCCCTATTGTGGTTAAATAATACACCAGAATCCACAGGGATGCACACAGGTATGTGCGTGGTGCAGCAGTTCTGCCATAGTAATGAAACAATATTTGCCAAAAAGTTGCGAAATTCCCCAAATATTTCTTTATTATAGCAAAAGTATTTACTGCAATGATTCTCATTATGTATGTGGTTTCAAAAAGCCGCAAATTGTTCTGTTGTTTTCATGACAAGGCAATGTTCTGCTGCATAAACCAGCATACTGGCATTCACATGGATGTTACAGTAATGTGGGCCCCTACTGAACCCTTTACAGGCCAATCCCTTAGGATAATATTCTTAGTTTGTTTTTTCTTTCTTTTTCTTTCTTAAAAACGGCAATGAAAATATAGATATTTCGAGATTATAATGACAAGTAGAGCACAATACATACAAAAGAAATCCTTAAATTGAAGATGCAGCTTATGCATGGTTTTTGTTCCTTGAAATTTTTTTCTAAATTAGATCCAAAATGCAGACCTGTGATTGATTAATGTAATTACCAACGCATCAGTTTCTTTAAATATTGTTTAAAATTTCAATGCGAATAACCATATCAACACTAAAAGCTTGACTTTCCTTGTGTTTTCCGGAGTACATGTGTGATTGCACCCTCAGATTTCCGCATACCGTGTGCACAGGCACATGCATGTCCGAGTGTTTTTTGCATGTGTATGTCGACAAAAATCGGTGCCTCTCTGTGAATGACTGTGTTTGCTGTTCAAATTTCCAGGATTTATTATTTTTGTTGAAATATATCTGCTGGTTTTTCTGCTCCTCCTCCAGCTGTCGTTTTCTGAAGCCATGCGGAATAAGGCCCGTCTGTCCATCACAGGAAGTGTGGGGGAGAATGGCCGCGTCCTGACGCCAGACTGTCCCAAAGCCGTGCATGCTGGCCACACCTCCCTTCGACACCCCGGCCTTGCAGTGGTCTCTTCTGGACTGCCCTGATAACCAAAAACACCTGCCGTGCCTTATGACATACAGACATGAAGACTTTACCACAGAAACAGCCACATTTCACATACAAAAAAAAGAACATCTTCGCACACACATTACTATAGATACTGAAATCCTAATAAAGTACTCCGATTCAAAGCCATTTTTACACATTTCAATACGCAAACACATCATCATTTCACCTTCCTGCTGCCACTGACTCTTTTAACGAGAGACTAAGGAGACACGGCCGTGGAGCGAACACTTTAGAGAAAAAACAAGACAATGGACAACAAAGACTTCAAATTTGCTTGCAGCATTTTTTTTTTTTTCATTTTTGGAAGGACGTAATTCTGATATTCTCTTGAGTTAACATGAAAGCCAGCACAGATATCCATACATTAACTTTAAGCTGTGAAACACAAACCCACTCATGTTGATGACGGTAAAAAAAAAAGAAAAAAAAGATAATGATCACAGCTTATGGTGGAGAAAAAAACTAAACAAGACTACCAAACAATCCTGCTCCTGCTCTGTCTTTGCTGAACAAAGATGGCCAAAAAGCCACACTCCCTGACATCACCTTACTAAGACTATAAACATTGTTTTCACCTTTTCATCTTCTTACCTTGCCTGCGAAGACTGAGAGCCAGGTAATATATCCCTTAGAAGACCAGAAAACTGTAAGCTTGAAAGTTCGGACTGTGCAAACTTGCTATATCGTCACGGACTGTTCAAAATGAATGAAAAATGCTTTCTTACCACAAATTTAGAATGATTATTTCTCCCAGTTTATGAGTTGATAACAACCATACACAATAGAGGTAGCCTCGAACCACAACCATGGCTGAACCTGGCGACAAAATACACAGGAGTTTGTAAAAAGGCAACATAGTGATTAACAAAGTCCCTTCATCAGCAGAATCATCATCATGTAGGAAGTAGAAAGGCTAGATAACAAAAGATGGGTACGTTTTTGTGGTGAGGCAAAATGCGGGGTTTAAGCTATATATTCAGTGATAAAAAAGATCTCAAATGGATTAAAGTGCTACTCAACCTGACCGCTAGGACCTCATAGATAGTGTAAAATGAATGATGGAGTACATGTAAGGGATTTGCGGGTTAAAACCTTTCAAAATTGAGATCCAGGTCCTCTTGAATAAATAATGAACAACCGCTGGAAAGGCAAAACAGAGTTCATCCTCTCTGGAATTTTTGCCCACAATGGGGGTGATTCGACTGTCTATTTTCTATGGCTGTGACATGGTTGAGAACCACCGATTTATGCTGTGCGTGCTTATTCAGATTTTAATCATCAGAGTTTACTAGTAAATTTGCCAGTGTGTCTAAAACTTCAATGGACAGTTTGGTTGAAGCCCTCAGACCTGGGTGCAGGAAGGTACCTTATCAGAAAGCTTGCTTTTCAGAACTATTGTATATAAGTGCGTAGCAAAACAGAGCTCACATCTTTTTTAATCATCTTAGATAATTCATTGCAATAATGAATATAAAAGAATAATGCCACAACTTGTAATTAAGTAAAAATCTTTTTTTATAAATCTACATATTATATATAATGCAAATAAATTATATATAAAAATATATATGAATAAATACATCTATAGAGAGCTATAGAAAACATTGATCACTGATTGTCTGAGGCCATGGCATACATTCTGTTATATGGCTGTTTTTTTATAACTTGAGAATATAGATATGCCACAGTCTTTGTGTGTCCTGCTCTATACTGAATGTCCATATGGCACTCACACGGACACACAATGAAATGCACACACATACATTGTTGCATACACAGGGTCAACTCAGAGCGATCACTCAAGCACCATTACTTATTCACTGGTTTTCATTATCTAAGAGCGTTTTTATTCCAAAAATCTTTGTGTTTTTGTGTCTGCGTGTGTGTGTGTGTGGGCCCTGACACAGTACACATGAGTGCAGCCCACACAAGGACAACACAATTAACTAGGCCTATCTAGAGAGGGTGGGCTGCCCTGATTGTTGTGCCATTGGGAAACAATGCAGTGTGACATTTCAAGAGTTTTTTTACGTTGCATTTCACAACGTTTTAGAGCATTTTGTTGCACCTTTTCACTGAGTCAGCTGCAGACTTGCATACGAATTCAAATTGAACAGGGTTTGCATGCCGATTAATACCGTCCTCTTCCCCTCTTTTTTTAAACCGTTACTGATTTGGCTCCTAAACTTACGGAAACTACAGTAAATCTCTTTTGTTTTAAAGGAACTCTTTGGAAAAACAATTTCTTAAATCTAGATTTCAATAGTTTGCTGGACTTTTTTCATGAGAACCATTGTAAAGCAAGGAACTTTATCAAGGAATTGTTTCTTATGTTTTCTGACCATCCTGAATCTCTTAATTTTCCTGAAAGTCTTTTTAACTCTAGTTAACACTTGAACTATTTTTTCATTTGTCTTTGTTTGTTTTTCGCCTCCCCTCCTTTCTGGAAATCAATGTCCCTAAGAAAAACAATATGAATTTATTTTTCCAAAATTCCCCGCGGAAGCACTAACTCCAAATGCGATTTGATTATCTGAGGTTCTTAACCTCTCATCTGCAATGTAATTGGTCAGATACATATAGCCATCAGCCTTGACATGAAAATCACATGCATGCTATCGTGTGGATCGGAGTGTGTGGAAGCTAGAACACCGGTTTGAGCTCTTTGTGGTATCCTGATCTATCCTGGTGTTGTGTTAAAGGTCACAGGTATCGGGGAGTGGTGCTGCCTTGGGGAGATCGGATTCAATGACAGGGATGTTTGAATTGCTGGTAGTTGGAGGTAAAGTCCACATTGATCTCTGGAAGAAAGGATTCCCAGCGGAGCATTTCAATGAAGGAAAAAAGTGCTGATATTCACTCTGTTGCGATGTTCTGGCTGATCGGTTTTACCTCATTAGTGCATCATTAACTGTATTAGTCAATATGAGTCAAAGTTACTATCAGATAGCGTCCATAGATATTTCTTTTTGTATTTTATTAGTCATTTCAAACAGCTGAATAAAACTTTTGTAAAAGAAAACAAATGAGGCAGACGTTTTCCAAGCATTGTGCCATTACAGCAGGAGAAAAACTGCAAATAGTCTCATGGATTGATTTGCTAAGACACCAGTTAATATTGATCTGTCACCAGGGCAGGAGTGTTAAGCTGCACATGATGCTGTTGCTTTTCTTTCTTTGCCACTTTTTTTTACCACCTCCAGCACTTAAGATTTCATACGTAGACAAGAAGATTTTAATTTCTCAATTGTCAACACTCCTTACTTTCTAAATGTCTCAAGTCCCATTTCATTTCTTTTTCTAGTAAAATTTCAATGCTGAACCTGCAGTCTCTTTGTGGTTATTTATCAACTAATGTGAGCTGTTCTGTTCTGTTTAACAAATACGGGATATTTTTCTGCACACATGGATGATGACTGTAAGTAATGAGATGCACGGAATCCTAAACATGATTTTTGATACTCTATTTGACTAACTCTAGACTCTACAAATCATGATAATGAGCTTTAATGGGTTATGTGAGGAGTAAAACTTTAAGGCTTCAGTGTATGCTTTGGTGTCTGAAGTCAGTGTAAATCTAAAGTAAAAAGTCAGACAAAATGCAACCGTGTGATTGTTTTGGACACTTTTTGGTCTCAGAATGTCCACTTCAATAAGCCATTCAGATGTACTGTGTCACAGTTCCCAGCTTAGAGCCTTGCTGTCCATTTTCCTCATCTTTATCCCCACCGAAACTCATCCTCAAATCACGGTGCTTTTGCTATACCTCAGAACCGGGAAGCTCAAACCTTTGAATTGGTTCATAGCTCTGCTCTCTCTACGGTAACATTTAAACAGCACCTAAAGTTCTCTTAAATGTTTTAATATATCAGCTAATGATGCTCTTTGGGAGTTTGGAGTTCTAAGGGATAGAAACATCTATCATTTAAAAGTAAGATCCATAATGTCTGTTCCTTTTTAAGCCATTTCTGAGTCAAACATTGGCTGTGTAGTAACTATATCTATATGTTCCAAAATCAAACTTTGGTTGCGCTCATTCACATTCTCAATAGTCACAATGTAATTTTTGAATTTCATTCAAAACTTTAATAAGCTTTTATACTCCTTTTATTTGTATATGTCCGCCATCTTGTACTGTATCTATGTATAAAATTGTTGGCATGGTGGTGTGGAGGTTAGCACCATCCCTTCACAGCAAGAGGGTTCTGGGTTCAAGTCCCAGGACCTTTCTGTGTTGAGTTTGCATGTTCTCCCTGTGTCTGTGTGGGTTTTCTGGCTTCCTCCTTCTGTCCAGAAATCTGCATGTTAGGTTGATTAGACTGATTGGACATTGTGTAAAGTGTGCGTGGTTGTTTGTCTCTGTGTGGCCTTGCGATGGACTGGCGGACTGTCCAGGGTGTACCCCGGCTCTCGCCCATTGACCACTGAGTTAGGCTCCAGTTCTCCCTGTGACCCCATTTGGGAACAAGCGGTTAAAAAAATGGACGGACGGATATCTTAACACAAAAATAATGGAAAATCTTTTTGGATAGGATAAAAAATACTGTTAGTTTAAACATGATCTGTTTCTGAGGCCTGACACAGCAAAGTCTCGCAGTTAAAGACAGAAAGAAAGTGCCTGCTGTGACTGCCGTCCTTTTTTTTTTCCAATCCTTGGAGACCAAACACTCTTAATGCAGACAAGCATTTCCCATCTCACTCATACTCTCACAGACACACACATATAAATGCACTCACACACATCACAGGGTCATTACTGACAAGTATTTCCCATTTACAGGAGATTGAGGCAAAATAACCATTTTTCGGGAAAGACCAGCCACCCTTTTAACCTTGCACTTTCATGTGAGAATGTATACAGCACACACACACACACACACACAAACACCTTCAATCAACCTCTGTAATCATCCCCGCAGAGTGAAAGCAGCCTTTTCCCCTTTTTAGCTCCATTGGCCCTGTTGATCCCTGCATTCTCAGGCTGTCTTCCCCGCTTTCAGCTTTGCATTATGTCCTCCTTCTGCTCAGCCCCTCCTCATTTCTCCTCTGTTCTCCCTTTGGGTTCCTCTGCTTATTGTGAGAATGCCTTTGAAGGCCTGTTCCTGTTTTCTCTGTTATTTTTCTTTATTCAGTATGTTTTTTCTACATTTATGTCCTTCCACATTTTTCAGACGATTTAAACAATTAAGGTATCAAATCGTTCAGGTATGACTTTTGGTATTAAAATCTTTTCAACTTTTAAAATGATTCAACTTTTTCTGCTTTTTTCTTCTCACTGAAATGAATGGAGGAGCCTTCAAAAACTGACCTACTGGTACTTCAGTCTCAACTTTTTCAGCATACTTTCAGCTAGAAACAAAATTAACATTTTAAACGGGTCTCAAGGCATTCAGCTATTTCAAAATGACTTTTCTCTTCAAAATATTCAGCCGTTTTTTAGAATATCCTCATTTTAAAATCATTCAAATTTTCAGCTTCATATGGAGGCAAGTTAGAGTGGGAGATCAAAGGGGGGGTCATGTGACTCACTAGATTTTTCAGCCAGTTTCATTCTTCAAAAATCTTCAAACTCCTTCAGTTTACTTCCACATCCTTCAACTTTCTTATACAAATTGTACTTTAAAACGTCCCCTTTCAGCCAATGTCACTATCAAAGTGTTATTTCATTTTCAAATGACTTTTTGCCACATTTCAGTGTTGTCCTATGCTGATGGTTTCTGTTTTTGTCTTTTTCTGCTTTTCTTTGGCACCTTCTGGTGCCTCCATTCAGCATTAGGCATTCTCACAGCTTTTTCGTAGAAACAGCTCCTTTCTAGTTGTCGTTATGCTATCCTCCATCCTCCTGTCATATTTTATTTCTCAATTTTTACATCACTCTATCTGGGGAATACATCTCAAACCCTGTTTTCTCATCTACAGCTCCTCTCCTGTCATGACCACCCCTCTAGCTGCTTCTCTTTCACACATTTCTCATGATGGAAAAGAAAATTAAATTCCAGGAGTCTGCACACACCAGCAGCTGTGATGTTCTGTTGTTGTTGCGGCTGCTGCAGCTGCTATGATCTTGATCTTTCAGGGCTGCTGAGAAGCCTACCGCTTACACACAGACCTATCCTCAGTCAGATACATGACATACATGACATTACATCAAAATAACAGGCAAGCTGGGATTCTACAGGGGTCAATTAACACAATACATTTTCCAAATGAATGGGGAATAAATACAAACAGTGATTTGCTATTCATTTATTATCTTCTGAAAAGTGTGACTAAAATATTTTTAATTTCAATTCAAGAGTGGATCAACTGGAACTGATTGCATGTTGAATAAAAACCAAAGGATTTTATTTCTGGTTGATTAACAATACCCCTCTTACTCACAGAAAGAAAAAAGAAATTTGTTAGATCACCACCAAATATTGTTGTCACCCTAACTCACCAAAAATTGAATAGTTGTTGCCCAATTTTGATAGTTAAAGGCATATAACCTTTATTTATGTTTTGTTTTAATTTTTGTTAGTTTTTTTTCTTTTTTTATTATGTATATAAGAACTCTAAGAGGGACTGAAAACTAAGGATTCTGTATTTAACCTCAAAGATGCTATTTCTCTACATTACATTTTTTGTGGATCTTTAATGCCCATACTGTTTCATTTGAGGAAAGAAGTGTTAAGCAATATGCTGACTATAGTAGTTGCAGTTCTTTAGGAAAGATACCCTGCTGTGTCAGGAAGGTGTTGATTTACTTGGCATGAGCTGTTGAATAAATGGGAGTGCCCCAGTACTGGTTCAGAGTCAGCAATTGGCTTTGAATGCTCAGCAACTGAGCCAGCTTATACAGTGATCAAAACATTTCCCTTGTCAGCCTTCAAATGACAGTTTACTGTTAAAAGGCATGGGTTAGCTCAAGAAGAAAAAATACCATCACGTCCCTGGTTCTCTGTAACAATACCTGACTTGCAAGTACATTTTTTTTTTATCATATGCTAATGAAAAAAGTTTCTTAATTTGAACCACCAAATTAAACTCACAGTGAGAGGATAGAGGGTATATTATCTTGCTGCTCTTTCTTATTTAGTCATGACAGACAGAACTGCAGTCAGTTGAGACCCTGCATCCTGCCAGCTCAGAGGGACTGTTTTGTACCAATACAGTGGGTTTTCACAACAATTTTAAATCCTGAGAGAGCTGAAGAGGAGCCTTTCATGTAAAGCCTTCATCTCTCAGACAGAGTATATCCCTGGAACAGAAAAATAAACAAGTCTTTGTGATTAGATCTGCCTGCATTGACAGCCTAACTGAGAGTGTGTGTGTGTGTGTGTCTGTTTGTGTGTGTGTCTCTTTGTGGGAAAATCAAGTGGTATCGTGGCTTGAAATGAGTCTTTCAAATGAATTTTGTATCTATGGGCTGCAATTTCAAAATGCGATTTTTACCTTCCTACGCTTTGGTTAGGTAGATAAATGTTGTTTGGCTGTAGTTTAGTGTTTGGAAGAAAACATTTCAGTAAACATTCAAAAGCTGAATCATTAGACTCAAAATGCTCCAGCATTTGTCTTATTAAAGGATTACTTTGATCTTTGAACCCCTAATATGCCCTTTAGTATTAACAGAACAAACCATATTTTTCTCCAATTGTCTTCTGCTCTTTGCTAGATGCATAATATGCTAAATAAATATTAATATATTGATACAACAATAATCATTGCATTAATTTGTCTCAATCATTATCAAATGAATGAGACATCATGATGGAAATGTGACATTTAACTGATGACAAACTGATGATATCTGATAAATATGGAATATATTGTGCAATGAAATGCAATTAATTGCGCTAGGTGGAATTGGTTTAAATAAAGCAGCAGAAGAAAGTTTCAGTTAACCTTTACTGTTTGATCACAGCAGAACCTCAAACAATATTTTCCAACATGCAGACCAAACACTCAACTTTTAAACAGGTAAAAATGTAAAAAGTCTCATTTATGTAGTAACAAAAAAGGTTAGTGTGAACTGGTTGAAGTCTGAATGATATTATGGTATATAATTGTATAGCTGCCTTGGTTTTCCGTCATTCACTTAATTCACTTTTGCGTATTTTCCATGTTGACAAGTTTAATGTCTGTGAACGGCCGTTAGTAAGTTAATACAATCACGACTACCCTCACGTATAACACTTTAACACAAGCGCTTGACAGGAAACTGTAAACATCACAAATTCTACAAGAAAACATAGAGTTAATGTTTTTTAGTTTTTTCATTGTTGTAAGCTTAATGAGCATAATGACTGTTTTTTCCATCAAGTACTGATTAGCTTTATTGACGACCCAGACGTGAATAAATCAATGCAAAACTGATCTTTTAACACTGGCATAGCTCTGTCTTTTTGCCATTTTACAGAGATATGAAAGGGCACTGCTTTATTAAACGTGCTTGGCCTCCATTTAGGGCTTCTATTTAGACCAATTCTCTTCTGGAGTGCTCAGTTATGTACTTGCATGTGATCCATCTATATTCTCTTTTGTTTAAGGCCTTTACTGATTGGTGTTTTTGTGCAGCTGCATTCTCTCTTTCTCCACTTGAAGACGCTCTCTTTCAATCTGTAACCTGCCTGCTTCAAATTTGAAGAACTGTAGCCTCTCTTTCTCCAGCTGCAGTCTCTCCTTCTCCAGGTTAATCTTTTCCGTCTCCAGATCCACCACTGATACCCAGCCCCTGCCTCTCTTCTCCCCCAGTCCGTCATGAGAAGAGGATAGTGAGGTGGAGGACGACGGTGGGCCCTGCTGCGGTGGAAGGTTGAAAGAGGAGTTGATGTGCTCTGACTGACTGACGATCAGGAGTTTCAGCCTCTCCCTCTCCACCTGTAAACGCTCCCTCTCCAGTTGCAACCGTTCTCTTTCCACCTCCATCTGGCGGAGTCGCTCCCTCTCCACTGCCAGTCGCTCCTTCTCCACGGCCAGTCGTTCGGTCTCCACAGCAAGCCTTTGTTTTTCCAGTTCTAATCGCTGTTTCTTTACCGCAACCAGGAAACCCTCATGGTCGCCAAAACCATGAGCCTGCATTCCCATCATGCCCACATCCAGGAGCAGATCTCTACCGATGGTACAGCTGGGATCTCTGGAGGAGCCGAGCATGCCGATGTGGTTGTGTGAGAAAGCATCATTGGCATGCCCGTCTCCGTGGGTCTCAATGTCGCTGAGGATGGAGGGGATGTCGTCCTCATCCATCTCTCTATCTCCACCATCACCGTCTGGCTAGAAGGACAGACCAAGATTATTAAAAATTCGGGAAAAAAGCATCTGCTGAATGCATAAACAAAAGTTGAATTTAACTGTCATAGAAACAAACTCTATTTTCTCTACGAGTGATTCGCCAAGATGGAGAAAATAAATAATAGTAATGGAAGGAAATTGCACATTGCAACCAGGGAAATGTAGGATCTTTCTCTCCTCCTGATACTGATGAGTGTTGCATAGTTTCTATGCAATTTGACTATTTCATGCACATAAGAAGCTATTATAGAGGTTTGTTTCCCAAAGGGTTTTCAACTTCAAACATTAGGAGGGCAGCTGATGGTTTTCTTGCGGCTGACTGATCATGTCATGGTCTGGTGCACAAACCTATCATCTCTGTTACTCCTGCAAATACGGCGTCATCTTCTCAACAATTTTACATGAATGACTCCGTCTTAAAACGAAAAGGATGGTTTACGCAGTTGGTGAGACAGACATGAAGAAAATAGGGAACAGGATTACTAGTTTCCAAAACGGATATGAATGTATTTACAAAACAGTCTAATTTAAATGTTGTCTTCAATTAAAAGTTTAATTAGCACCGTCTTAATAGAATTTGATCTGTACCTTGTGAAGCTACAGGAGCCCAATTAAACGACTGGATAAGAGCCACTTGATCTACATAACATGCTGCATAATCACTGTGATGTTTAAATGTCTGCAGATGAGAATAATATATGTGCTAATGAGCAAATTAGTTATACTTGTCTTTTTGCTTTTGCATACAATAAACAATGTCTCAGCAGAATGGAGAGGAATATCAGGAATATGTAGTTAAAAGGTTCTGGCACAAAATAATTCTCTAATGGGATGTTGTTGTGTACAAATTAAGCTCGTGTTGGTATGGAGGAGCTGTCTCATACTCTGTATTCACTGATGTCCTCTTCCATCTTCACACTTTGGTGCGTCACTGTGGACTGCCCGGCGCTCGGCTCACTGAGAGCAGCCAACTCTGTCCAGTCACACTGGCAGTCCTTTGGGAAGCTCGATAGGTCAAGGAGCTGGTCATACCCCGACCCTAGAGAAGCTGCCTCGTGCTCAGGGGAAGACTGATTGTCCTCGGTCTTCATTGCCAGCGAGGAGGACGAGGAGGAAGACAGAGAGAGGTCAGCTTTCAGCTGTTTTTTCTTCGTCAGAGCGCGCCAGTCCAGGTAACGACGCTTAACCTGCACATTTGGTCAACACAAGAAAGAATAATGGTCTCTGATATTTCGTGGTGATGGTTAATCTGGATTATTTAAGTCTATCTTTGCTTTGAAGAGCACCTCAGCAGCCGTGCGCAGCTCCCCCTCCCCCAGCGCGTTCACACCTTGTGCCACTTCCTCCCATGCCTGCCTCTTCAGCTCATTAACTGCTGTGTTCTGTTCAGAGAGGGAAAAAAGCAACGAGAAACAGCAATTAGACTCTTAAGAAGTCTGACACCGGTTATCCCAAAGCTTTGTGGTAAATTGCAGGAAATGAAAGAGCTCTTGCTGGGCTGCGTGAACTGTGTGAGCAACGCAGGCTCCACTGAAAGCAGAGAAAATCCATGACTCGCTGAAATAATTACAAATCTGCCACATCTTTGACACAAAACAGTCTTTTGTGCTGATTGGTTTGATTTGCAGTAATTTAAGAAGTACAATCAAATGAACCAATATAGTATTGTCGGAAAACGTCCAATCCAAATGAATCCAGGGTAGCCTAACACTCTAGATACCTTGTGGTGTTTTTTTAGGTTCTCTTCAACATTTTTCAAATAAACCCTGAAAGACTTCACTTATTGTAATTCTTGGCCAAATCCTGGTGTCTTTACAATGCAAGGTAATCCTAACCTTATGGGATTCCTGTCTCCATGGTAATCTTGCCTTTAAACAATGAGAACTTTTCCAAAACTTGTAAAGGAGAAGATAAATTGAGGTTATCTGCATTAGCTGTCAGAACAGTGAGGGGCCAACATTCAGTGACTTTGGCCCATTTCTTTGAAGTATGAAATGGTTTTTGTAGCGATGACAATACATTTAGAAATAGACAAAACAAGAATTTCTAGATTAGTGAGAGTCGTTCTGGATAAAATAGCTAATTTCTTAATGTCATTTCAAATTCTTTGTGAAAAGAAAATCATATAAGTCTTTTCATTATTCACTGGATGCTCAAGGTGAATGAAGAAAATACAAGAGCAGGGGACACTTTGTTTTTCATTCTTCTAAATGACCATAAAAACGGTAAACTGAGTATTAAACATCAGTAAACATCAGCGGTTAATGATTCTCAATACGTTTGCAAATCCTATTAAAAAACATTGGCACATATCTGATATCTGAAATATTAAAAGCTTCAGTTTAGGGCTGATCAGGACCTTTTCTATCAGGAAAATGTATATCACGTCTGTCATGTCTTATTGGTCAATGTGCAGTTCCAATTTATCTATCAATATTGACTGATTATGACGTGTTATATGAATTATGAAGGATATGAAGGGTTGGATAAATAGTTTGTTTTAATTAATTTGCTTAATTTTCTGTTAGTCTATGCTTTGTGTGACTTAGAACACAGAAAATAAGGACTTTGACTTCTCTAGAGTGGATTATAAAGTATATGTGTGTGTGTGTGTGTGTGTGTGTGTGTGTACGTGTGTGTGTGTGATTTAGTCAGTATGTACAAGGCATGTTAGTGTATATTCTCAGTTATCCAGGTCATGGCAATCCTAAGGGGTAATCTGATGATTGTGTACAGAGTATTGTACACTACACCTCTGATTGTATGCCTCTTTGAAAGAAAGAGAAAGGGAGACAAAAAGATCCACACCTGCTGTCTGGAAAACAATACATCTCTTCTCTTGTGGATCTCTCTGATGAGAGTCTGTGTTTCTCTCACACTGTAGTTACTCTTCCTCTTCCTTTTCAGATGCTTTGCCTGCAGAAAATCCAGCTTGGCAGCAGAAAGGGGGAGGACAAAAGCAGAAACACAAGGAGAAACAGAGGCGAGGGGAGACAAAAAGGGAAAACCACGCAAAAAGTGGCCGTCAACAGAGAGGCATAGGTGGAAGAGAGGAAAGAAAAGAAGGATGGTGCAGGGACTGTCAGATCAAAGGTAAAAGTGCAAGTGAGACTCAGCTCTCAAAAGTTAGGAGGTGTGCCAGAAAGGTTAGTGTAAGTCTTGCAGAGAAGCTTTCCTTCAAAAACACGAAACAGTTTCCAGCAGTTAAGACTTCCTCTGTGACTCTAGTCGTCTCTGTGAAGTTTTCCCCCTCCCAGGAGATGGAAACCAGCTGTGCCACTAGATGTTGTCTCTTTGTGAGGATGGCTGAGACTTGGAGTTATCTAAATACCAGTCGGAAGGGAGCACCCCAAGTGCAGAAATCATGACAGGTTGGTTGGAGGGGTAAACCATCCAAGGCTTTCTTTTTCCTCTCAGTTTGTGTAGGGAGTTCACTTGCCTGCCTTGATAAGACCCTGTCTTGATGTAGCTAGTCTCAGAGTGTTACTGTGACAAGACTTGTAGGGTGCTCCACCTCCGATTTCCAGATCCAGGCAGTTACCAGGTGAGCCCAGAAGGATCAAAGTGAAAGAGCAATAGTCTTCCTATAAATCAAGCAAAGACAGGATTTATATGTTGGCATGGGTATTTGTATACTATAGATTAGTTACTTCCTATTTTACATACTAATTATTGAACTCATTCAAATAACAATAACACTGTAAACAAAGAGTACAAAATACAAACCAGAATAATTGACATTTTTCTGCTGCTGTGGAATTATCAGAATCATTTGACATCATAAATGGATGTTGGACAGTCTATGAAGATTTTTAATCCTGTTGCATGCACTATATGGAATTTCAATCGCAATTAAGTGTATATAAAACCAAAGTTGTAATTATGCAAGGAGAACCATGGTTTCAACCACCACATGTGAAATGAGCAGCAATGTGTACTTTAAATGAATCTTTAATGTAAAAACTACTAGTCTAAGCAGCAAGGTATTCAAAGGAATGTAGATACATTTAGCATGTCTGTTTTGAAATTGGCAACATGTGTTATGCAGGTAGTGTTTCGTGGAGGTTGTTTCCTGTGGTGTCTCCCATTAATATTACGAGTGGGTATGACAAATCATAGAAATATTGGGGTGTTTTATCTGAGAAGAGGAGCGCAGCGCGGTTTAATCTTCTAAGGCAGTCGTGGAATGTTATCTCATAATCAGCAACAAAATAAGCATTATATGTAAGAAATAGTTTTTAAAAATAACGTACCTTACCCATAAAGATGAACCGCTATCAACATCGTTGAACTATCATTTTGTGTTACTTTCAAGGTAAGTCGGACAGAAATTATTATACAGATTTAGACAAATGAAAAAGGGATTTTAGTGTTTGTGCAAAGCTGTCGTTCGGCATGTGAACTATGTCTAGTCATTGACGTTTTGTTTGCATTTATATTGGGAGCACGGCGTTTCTTTTCATATTCATTGTACCACGTAAACGTTTATTTCCTTTTTAACGATGCTGTTTGCCATAAACGAACTATTGACACAAAGATAAAAGTGTAATAGTACATCGTATTTTAGTTATTACGTTTTGGAATATTTGAAACTGTCTGTCTTTCAAATAAAACGGATCAATTGATCAAATCGGGGAATGGGGTTTCGTATTTACAACATTAATCTAATCACTTGAAGTTATCATTAGTGGTGCACCAATTCAACTGATCTTATTGGTCAATCCTCCACCGCGCCCACTTATGACGACATTGAGTGTAGTTTTATTCTTCCAGACTGGGTGTACCGCTGTAACATCCGAAATGTAAACACAGAGCCCGCCTTGTCTTGTGCTTTGCTTTCGGCAGTGTTTCTTACCTCACCGCTACCCTGTTTTTGTCCTACTACGACCCAAACCTCTAAGATACAATATTTTCAGACAGTGACATTCAAGCAGTTCATGCTAACACAGGGTAGTAGCATTAGCTTGCTAACAACACGTGAGCCGCTTGTAGTTGTCCAGATGACAGGGACAGAGAGATGACCTCTGTTCGCTGGGCTTTCCGCTGTGGATCTTGGACCCCGAGCAGGTCGGACTGGCTCTTTGCTGCTCGATGCATTCAGCAAGAAGAGAAGGACCGAATCGGACAGTTTGTTTTCGCCAAGGATGCTAAATCAGCTATGGTGAGAAGTTCCTTCCCTTGTGTAGCTATTTTTCGACTTGTCAACTCTATGTAAGAATATATGCATATGTTTAAAATGCAATCCGTGTGACCTAATCAGGCTGGCCGCTTGCTGCTCAGGAGGTTCGTTTGCGAGAGAATGGGGATCCCGTGGTCTGAGATCAGACTGAAGCGATCTCCCCGAGGAAAACCATACCTGGATGCACCACTGAAGGTTTACTTGAATCATTAGTTCTTCTTTTTCAAAGTTCTTTCTTTTGTCACTTCTTTAATTTCAGTGCCAATGCACTTTAAGACTATCTAATTACATTATTCAGGTCAGTCCAGATTCGGACAAGTCCTGGAATTTCAACATATCTCACCAAGGAGACTATGCAGTGCTGGCTGCAGAGCAGGGGATGCAGGTCGGGGTGGATGTGATGAAGACCACAATGCCAGGTAAATCCTGGGATTTCTGAAGTTAAGAGAGGAATATGACTGCCGGTCAAGACTGAACGTAATCCCACTGCTTTTTAACAATGTGACAACACATGCTTAAGTCCCAAAAATAACTTTTTCTGAATGCAAGAAACCACAAGTGCACATACTTTTTTAGTTCCCAAAATCGCCCACAAGGTGTCACTGTAGCCTTAAACAAATAACCATACATACATCCATGCAGCCATACTTATGAATGTATGTATGTATGTATGTATGTATGTATGTATGTATGTATGTATG